TCACAGACTCAATATGTCTACAGCTACCAATGGTGTCCTCGAAGCTGGGCAAGGGGATAAGCCCCGTTATGTAGATGTACATTCTCCTGCTCAAGACTTTAGCATGTATTCGACCGCGGACACAATAGCTGATCAGTCTTTTCACAGTAGATAGGTATAAATCTTACCGATCCCGTCTACTCTGGAATCTACTATGATACACAACGTCATCCAGCCGATCTGCCCTCTGTTATCTCACGAGCTCTTACTGCAGGGTGTCAGAAACTTATCGTTACTGGATCCGATTTAGAAGAGTCTAGAAAGGCTGTTGAACTATCTAAGGAACATTGTAAGCATCTTCAATTTAGAAATTTAGAAGTGGAAAATGGGAAGTAGCAAAAGCTAACAGCCGATTCTCATAGCCGGGGTACTCTTCGCAACCGTTGGCGTCCACCCCTGTTCCTGTCTCCAATTCACGAAAGCCCCAAATACTCCGGATAAATACCTTCAAGAACTCGAGTCGTTGGCATTAGAATCGAAAAATACAAATCACTGCGTAGCATTTGGAGAGTTCGGCCTTGACTACGATCGTCTGACTCTATGCCCAAAAGATGTCCAGTTAGAATACTTTGAAAAGCAACTCGATGTAGCGACTCGCCTACATCTACCACTCTTTCTTCATTCGCGCGCTGCTCATGAAGATTTTGTACGAATCTTAAAGGCCAGATTAGAAGAGTTGCCAAAGAGAGGAGTGGTTCATAGTTTCACTGGAACAAAAGAGGAAATGGAGGAACTGGTCGCTTTGGGATTTGATATCGGGGTGAATGGTTGTTCATTGAAAACAGAAGAGAACTTGGAAGTGGTAAAAGCAATACCTATGGAGAGACTTCAAATTGAGACTGATGGGCCTTGGTGTGAGATCAGACCTAGTCATGCAAGTTCGAAATGGTTGAAGGGGTTCGAGGAAGGGAAAGAAGGGGAAGGAATGAGCGAGGGCGAAAAATCTATCGAGGGCGGGAAGGGTTGGAAGAGTGTGAAGAAGGAGAAATGGGTAGACGGGGTAATGATTAAAGGTAGAAATGAACCTTGTATGATTGGTCGGGTAGCGTGGGTCGTTGCAGGAGTCAAAGGGGTGAGTGTGAAAGAATTGAGGGAGGCGGCATGGAAGAATAGCTGCAAGATGTTCGACTTGGGAGCGTGAGTAGTGTTTGTCTGTTTTGATTACAGATGCCTGTGTACATCTTATTATATTAGATGGCTAGAATCTAGATCCAAATTATAAATCATTTGACAGTTGGATCAGGCTTCTGTGAATAAGACCTATGATATAAGGTGCTTCTACGTCTTACTACAACAGCAAACAAATAAACATATTCACATTCTAATAGAGGAATAGGGTTGGTGTCACAACATCCTTTGAGTTAGTTCCGCATTCGACATTGTAGATCTTCTCATGATCTAAATCAGTCAATGCTGTACGAATCGTGCCAAAACATCTTGGTTCTTGCATTGCCTCAATGAGAACAGAAAACCTCCAACTCCAGGTATCAAGGCAAACCCAAACACCCAAACACCAAAGTCCGAAACTTCCCAATATAATCACACATACTCATTACGAGTATCACTCAGACGCCAGTTCCCTTGAACCCCCTAACCCTTCCCCTCCTCACAACTCCCAAAGTAACACCCTCTTCGCCAGTCATCCATCCTGGCATTTTCTCTCCGTCCACTATTCCTGCTTCAACTAATTCTCGGATCCCCGCAAATACATGAGTTCCCTGGAATGTTATTCTGATATCTGGCTTCCACAAATCCCTCCCTCTTTCGCCCCTTTCTGCTTCATTTCTTCCCTCACTGTCCTCTCTATTCAATCTATCAAACTCAGCTTCGATAGTACTTCTTCGCCCTTTGTTCTTCCCTTGTTGTCGCTCAGTGATTAATTCATTTTCTGGTTCAGGTGTTATGGAAAAGAATGAAGGAAAAGGGTCTTCGACGCGAATATCCAGTCTTTCAATGCCCTTTCCGTCATTGGGTTCTGCAGAGTTTCCAAAACGTGCTTTTGCTACATTCTTTCGTCTCTTTGCCAATTCTGGCGCATCGTCTTCTCTGGGTCTTTTCATATTTCTCGGTATTGCTTTCTCATTGTCAACGCTCTCCACTTGTTCCCCAGTCGATGAGTCCTCAGATGTTGGTAATATCGGATTCAATGGATTGTCCTTTTTATTTTCTCCTGCATAAACTTCCCATGCACCTCCTGCTGCGTTGTGCCTTCCTCCTCCCCTCCTCTCACACAGCGCCTCCAAATTCTTCGTGGAAAATCCAGTACCCTCTAACTTGTACCTTTCTCTTGGCCTGCTAAACGCTTTTGGAATTCCATCCAGTGTCAGTTTCCGTAGGCTCTTTGTGTCGGTTGCTCCATTGGCGCTCCCTGCTGTGGAACTCAATGAAACATAAATATATGGCGAAGCATCTGGAAAAGCAATGTAAAACGTCTTGCTAGAGTCGAATGCCATGCTCGGTTTGTTAGATCCCGATGAAAGCGCAAGCGATGTGTTGTATGGTGAATCCAGTATATAGATTCTTAAAAGCAGTAGAGGTAAAGTAGCATGACGATCGAGATTGTAATGAGCTTTTACATCTGGTAGCACCTCTTTTTGTAAATTTTGTAAGAATGTCGACGGATGGAATCGAGGTATTGCTGTATCTTTCTTATCTTCCTTTGGAACTTCATGGTCGGGAGACGAGGATGACAACGGCACAATTTTCAGGGCAGTCCATTTCTGTGATGTAGGATGATCATAAAGATATTGCATATCCGCCATGGCTAATTGATATAGTGTGATCCCATGTCTCCAGTCTCCCTCCAGTATTCGATCGAGGACATCGCGCTTACTGCCTTTTTGCGTTGTAAAGGAAGTATAGAGTTCGCTGAGAGAGCCAAGGGTAGCATGAGGTGGGTAGAGATCTTGCGCATAATCTGAGGCAGAATCGTCGGCTTCGAGAAGATATGGTGCGGTATTGATTTGATTACGTTCGTCGAGCCAGTCGAGGGCTAGGGTGAGGAGGGAAGGTCGCGAGAGACGGGATAGAAGTTTGTGTACGGAGGGGTGCGTTGAAGGAACAAGCTGAGAGGGAGGAAGCGCAGAGGTAGTCGGTATAGATACTGCGGCCATGATCGATGGAAGAGAGTGAATACTAATCAAGCAACAGAAATCTCAGAATTAGATGATACCTTCATTATCGGTTTCGTTAATTCGCAGATCTCTTTCTTGATGTTGCGTTTTGGTGTTGTTTGTCGCGTTGTGTGTCGCGAAATCATCGCGATCAGCTGATATAGTGGAACTAGCACCGGACCCTGGCCTGGTGGTCAATCATACCGACCCTCAACGTACGGAGTAGCAGAATGCATACAATTCAATGGCTTTTCCGCTTCAAAAATAAGCCAACATCTCCACTTATGATTAACATTGAATGTGCAATCATGAGTTAGCCGCAATATATGTCCTCACAGCTGCCGGCATTCATGGGCTGAAACATCGTAAAGTCCACTAGTCTCAAGACTGCTAGGTAGTTCTAGAACAGTTATAGGAGAACCCAAGATGGTTTTGTAACGGCGTTCGAGGAAGTGGTCTCAAACGTCCTGTGAGAACAATACACTACTACGATCAAGTACTTGTGTCGAGTTCTTTGACTAGCCTGGCTTTCCATCTTCATATGTGATGAGCCCGTAGACAGTATTTGGAACATTTCTTATCTGGGTTCCAGGGACATTGTGAAGGACAAAATGATCCGAGTACCGGTATGTGCAAAGCATTGGATAACAACACTTTTCCTTGGTCTTTTAACATGGCGATGGCACCTAGATTGTTATATCACACTCTCCCTCTAAGTGCAACGGCTTTAGATAGTGTGCTTTGGCGTGTGAAGTCATTCGTGAAAACTAGATTTTGGGGACCCCCAAATTGATGGTGGCGTCATCCATGAATTAGAGATGGCGGCAATGTACGGAAAAGAAATCACGTTCTGTCTATTGAAAGTAACCAGCTGCACAAACTTGGCACCCTCCATAGATTCTCGGAATATAGCACTTCCCAGATCACTGCTCGACGTTAGGTCTGTCCCCTTCTAGAGATCATGTAATGCCCTCCGCACAAAACACCCTAAGAAGTTCATCAGACAACATTGAATCGGTATTTGAAGTGCAACATCAGGCCTTTGCCCTGAGATAGGTGGACAAGTGCACATCTCATTCCGAGCCATCCAAACATAACAGATAACAAATTCTAGACCAAATTATGAATACACCGTCAAAAGTTTCGTCGTGGAAATCAAGCTTCAATGTCTCTGTCTAGTGAAAACAGCAAGCGCATGAACGGAAATCTCTTCGTACGAATTATAGATCAAACGCCTTCCTGCAAATAACTTCAGCAATTTAATTAACCCCGCAACAATGGACGAGGAGCTCCTTCCCCTTCTGAAAATCACGCTAGCGAGCGGTATACCCTTCAACTGGCCTGGTCTCACTCTCTTCCTCCTGTTACTCTCAACGAAACTATCACGACAACCATCCAGTTACAAATTTCTACTTTCTTTAGTTTATATTACGAAGGTATCGACCCTTATTCAACCTTTGCAAGTTCCTTACCGTAACTGTACTGATTCTTAGGGTTTGCTCTGCAGGTTTAATTTGAAGATTGGTCTCAAACGCAGTATTCTCACCTTCGAAGGTAAAGCTTCCTGCCCAACCTTCCTAACAATCATCAAACAGACCTCCACACGTGTTCTTATCTTTCGCTCTTAGTTTTCTACAATTTATAATCTTTTTTTCTCACAGTAAGTGAAAAATCGTTAAATCGTCATCTTGCATCATTGTTCATCACGAGCCTTTCTTCCCCTACTTGCCACCCTCAATCTTCATCGAATCTCTACTTTAAATTTCGCGTTCAACTTCTACAAAATAGTTCATATAATTTTGTTAAGCTGGATCTGCTAACTTCAAAGTGGGCCAATCTCACACGACCATGAGTCAACCAATTACAAGTCAAAAACGGGAAGCAGATGCTGATGCTGCGGTCTCACTAAAAGAGAGTGGGATCAAAACAGAAATTATTGATGATTCTGCGTCAGCGGTGAGCGAGGGAACAGATCTTGCTACCGCCCAATATGAATCGATCACAGTTTTGAGGAAAGAAAACGCCGTCAACGACAGTATTCTCTTCTTGAGGAAAGCTGAAGGTATCGTGGCAGGACACACAGCTATGTTTCCTGAGTTTAAAACATGGCAAGACCAAACGAGTATGTTTTTGTCTGACTAGAGTGATTGAATTTAACTAACGTGGCATACTTGCAGAGCAAATTCTCAGTGGCATCAAACGCCCTCGTGTGCTTGTCGGGGTTCTTGGATATACCGGTAGCGGCAAATCATCCCTAATCAATGCGCTCATCGATGAGGAAATGGCGGTTCCCGCAAATGCAATGCGTGCCAGCACGTCGGTGGTCACAGAAATTTCATGGAACGACTCTGATGATCCTGACAAGGCCTTTCGCGCTGAAATTGAGTTTATCAGCGAGATGGAATGGAAAGAAGAAATGGATATTTTATTGGATGATCTAAAGAACGCCACTAAAGGAGAAGATGTTTCTGTTAAATCTGGTAGCGAGGCAAGCACCGCTTTTGCGAAGATATCTGCAGTTTGGCCTAGCGTCACTCTTTCCAAACTTAAGGGCATGACTTCACAGGAACTTTTTGACCAAATCGATGGCGTCTCTAATATATTGGATTGCCAATTGGAGATCGCAGAGCGCAAAGCCAAGCCCTTTTCACGAGAGATCGACAAATACATCGATTCAAATAACAAACAAAATCCTCAAATGGGATGTCCTTCTGGCCTTTGGTGCGTTGTGTTCGCATATACACAAAGGCTGAGATCCTTCGACATGGGCTCGTATTAGTCGATCTGCCTGGCCTAGGAGACTCTAACACAGGTCGAACGCAAGTCGCTGAGACTTACGCCAAGAAACTTACATACTTATGGATCGTGGCTGATATTGTTCGTGCAATCGATGATCAGGTCGCCAAGGATCTAATGGGTAAATCCTTCAGAAGACAACTACTCATGGACGGTAAGTACGATGATAAATATGTCACCTTTATCATGACAAAAACCGATATTATCAACAATGAAGAGGTTATAGAGTCATTGCAGCTTCGTGAGAAGAACTTGAAGGATATTCTGAGCCGAGAAGCAGATATTTTGAAGGAGATACAAGATGGCCAGCAAAAATTGGCTCAGAAATCTACTAAACTCAAAAAAATAAAACGGGCACTGAAGTTGCTCTTGAGTAATGTCGACTCGACAAAAGCTGACAGTTCTGCATCACGCAAGCGCAAACATGCCAAGGAACACAGGACAGGAGATGGGCACCAACCATCGGGTGACTCGAAGTCTACAGACATGGAGATATCAAGTAGAAGACTCTTGACTAAGAAGAAAGCGCATAATGTCAAGGCCATGAAGATGCTTGGGAAAAGGCTCGCTGAGTTGAGACTTATACTCAAGTCGATTAGGAACGATATTAAAGCAGCCTGTACGCAAGCTCGTAGCAGGTACACTCAAGAGCATCTCAGGATGGACTTCGAGAATGGGCTGCGAGAGTTAAAACAGGATATGTCTGATGATTCCATTGACGAGAGGCAGCTTGGAAATGTGGACGAAGCGGAAAGTAAAGATCTGGTGTACCAACGTACGTATTCTAATTTCAATACTCGCAGTGATCGTTTGAAGCTAATGCAAGGTTGCCATACAGGAGGTCTCACTGAACAGCTCCAAATCTTTTGTGTATCCTCTAAGGGCTACCAGAGACTCTGTGGGCGCTTCAAGCGAGACCCAATGCCAAACGGATTCACAACAATCAAAGATACAAATATCCCCAAACTACAAGAGTATGCAGCAGCATCTACTTTGACAGTCCGCGCAAAGATAGCTGACTCCTTCTTAACTGAGTTCAATCTTCTCAAGGTGAGTATAAATTCATGGGCCGAAAACGATTCGCCAAACTCCCTGTCAGTGTCTCAAACGCGCAAACTTAATGTAATGCGGGAGGAAAAGTTGGAAACTCTTCACAAGGTATGACCTGTTCCAATATTCGTTTTGGTATCTAATCTAGTATAGACCTTTAGTCATGCTTTGACTATTGCAATATCGCGTATCCGCGAGATCATCACGACCGATATCCTCCCAACTCTACGAAGCTGCATTCGAGCGAGTACAGAAAAGGCCGAAGAGGCTTGTAAGAAACTCATGAACGCAGACACTTCTTATCAGACCTGGAAAGCAATTTGCCGTAGATTTGGCAAATTTAATAACAAGAAGAACGGCATGTATGATTGGACCGGTGTGTTCTTAGAGCCGTTCTGGGGGCAAATCGCCCAGCCTTGGGATAAGGTATTCAATTCGCAAATGCAGAGTATTCACGACAGGTATGCTGGAGCCTTGGTCAGAGCAATTAGAGTGTTTTCAGCCGACATAAGACCCCTCCTCCAAAGCATGTCAGAAGCCTCCGCATGCAGATCACCAATCGATTTCTTGGCTAAGATACCTTACCTGGAGAAGAAGACGAAAAGTGCAGTATCCGGTTCTTTGAGCTCGGCTCAACGTCAAGCACAAGATATTCATCGACTAATTGAGCCACTGATTCAGCATCATATGCGCCCTGCGTATGAAAAGTGTAGCCAGGAATCCAGTAAGCATTATTCTATCTCTGGAACCATTGCACAGTCACTGATAAATGAATTTTCTAGAAACAGGAGCTCTTGGCCGGATGAAAGAGCACCTCCTTGAACACATCAAGAGAAGCAATGAAGTCATGTATCGCGAGTCGTCAAGCTTGCTCAATGCAAAACTGAACAAAATGACGACCAATATCGAGGAGTTATTGAAAGAGGCGCATTCTGCCACATCCCGTTACCTCAGAGAAGAAATCAAAAACATGATAATGTGGGCAGTCGCGAAAGATGACGAGACCCGAGAGAACGTCAGGGAGACTGTACGCAAAGAGCTGACTGTACAGTTGGATGCCTTGGGAGTGGCATGGGCTAGAGGTGCTTCTGAGCCCGCGGATCGTTTTCTCTCGTTGAAGACAGAGACAAAGCTAGATGACGACAGCAGTGAGGACAACGGCGAGGATGATGATATTAGTGATGATAGCGACAGCAGCGACAACATTGATGTCGGCGATAACAGTGATGATAGTGAAGAAGCTGAAGGTACCAGTGATGACATGGAAGACTCGTGATTCAAGATTGTGGTCTTGCCATTGGGATTGTGCACCATCTGCGTTGGACCATTAGGGAGATGAATACGTTTGCAAGCTTCTTTCTCGCATTTATCGGCATTTCGTTGTATCTCAAAGGCCGTAGAATACATATTCTGACATTTATGGCGTTGCTTTTATTTCCATTATTATTTTTCATCAAGGAAATCTTTATTGCGCAATGGGAATAAGGTCTTATGCGAAGACGAGGAGACAGGAGCATCGAGCTGAGTTATTAATGCCTACTTTCTATATTTTACATTTTAGCAATAATGAACTTCAATGTCTTTTACAACCTGATGAATCACCTAGGCTTTGGACGACAAGATGTATAAAAGTTACCAACATGAAATTTGACCAAAATAGATCTCATCATCACCCACCTTAAGATTTTCAAGAAATTGATTGTTCTAGACCCACCATACGGATACCTCCGGAGCTTTAGCCACGGGCCCACGGCCTCTCAGACCTCTTTACATGAAGATGTAACCTCTCTGAGCTTGAGAGCGTCTGAAATGGCAGCGCCGCTTGATAATTAGTGAATAGAATGCATTTGGGCGAATAAAATCTACTTCCGAGGCCAAAAATTACCATACTAATCAAAGCAGCAACTTCTTATTCTCTCGGTGTAATGGAGTCCGCATGACATTCTTTACCACCGATGTACTTCGTATCGTAGGAATGCGAGAGATAATGTAATTGGGTGGGGATATCTTGGGAATATCCATAAAAGCTCCGATTCTTTCAAACCCCGAGGATATTTTGAGGCGTCAACACATGTAGGTCTATTGTAGGGGGGTGGGGAGGGGTAGGAGAGGGGCATCAAAGAGGCGAGAAAGACTCGACCAACAATAAAGAGAGGCTCGAGGGATTCAAAGAAACGATCAACCTATAATGGACTCGTCATAATCTCAAGCCTACTATTGCTAATTTGCTGCTCAATGGCGGAAAGATGGAATGAAAGAAAACTTGATCTCGTGAAGTTTTGTGAATGAAATTACAATCAAAGGAGAATCAATTACTGTGCCCAATCACAGATCAAGCACTTTGTCTCTAATCTGTGAAGAAGAGAGAAAGAGCCAGAGGAGGTGAATAGATACGGAGTACGAGTAGGGTAGAAGAGTAATATGTAATCACGCCTTATGTAGTACCAATACAACAAGAGGAGAGGGATACATCGACCCCCAAATTTCGCGAGACGTTCAACTTGTATTGAATTGAATCTGGAAAATATTTCTTATAACAGCTGGAGAGGACAATTGATCTACGTATGTGAAAGCGAATAATCTCATAACCCCCCATTTCCGTGATTACCGTAGCTCGCGTAGATCTACGATGCTCTCTTTTTTTGTGAATCATTTTGCTGAATAATAGCAGCAGCTCTTTTATTGCTCTTTACTCTTTGAAATTTGTCATCAATCGATCAATCTAGAGTGGGGCATCCCTCGAACCAGGCTACTTTCGAGTCCAAACATCTCGAAAACCCACCAAAGCCCACAATCCACAATCCACAATCCGTAATCACTCCGGAATTGGTCTCTTCCACTTAACAACTCGACAACTCAATCCCCAACCTTCAATCCTCAATTCTTCTCCCCAGATCATACTAACCGAAGGGATTCATCATCCATTTTATTTCCATGGGAATCACGTCCACGATCATTCATATCGAATCCTCGAAGCCGCGGACCTACGAGATAATCAATTCAACCTTCCCTTTTTTTGCTTAAAAAAATCGGGCGCAATTCGGAGAACAAAGAAAAGAATTCGAATAACTTTTTTATCACCTCCCACCTTCCAACCCTTCCAAAAACACCCATCGAATGATTTCATCTGCAACATCCATATTATAGAGACGAAAAGGCTACGAAAGTCACTCCATATTCTCGAACACATACTTCAAGATGGCATACAATGGTCGGCGGGGTCCGAATGTGTCGGAATACATAGCGAATCTCAACGCAATCCCAACACCACAAGATCTACACAATTCCAATCAGGATACGTACAATGTAGACGATGAATTGGCTATGTTCACGAACACCGAATTTTACGACATCGACTCGGTCTTGCAGGCACCAAACTTTGATGGAGTAGGAGCACAATCGACTGCGGATAGTGTTGATTTGGATTTAAAGGACATAGATTTCAGTCTTCCAGGTTAGAGATATCTCCATTTCTCCACTGTTTTGCTGTCAAATTTCTGTACTTCTATCATATCGACTGTCTCCTTTACACGGTATCTTTGGGAGAACATGTTTGCCCTCTATCTTGTGGACGGATACTAGACACACTTTTTAAGCACAAGTGTGTATATCATGTCAAAATATCGGGATAGGACCCTTTCACATAGGCTGCTATGATCAATTCTCTATTCGAGAAGTTTCACTGGTCAGCTTTTGGCCAATACCTTTACCTGCACATATCCACGTGCACTTAGATTGCATAGGACGGGTATAGTTCTTATCCTCTTGCATTACTTTTCTGCAACGTTCCTCGAACCCTTTCCTCCGTCCTTCCTTCTTACATGCTTTGTAAGCCTTTCGTTGTGCTGCTTGGTAAGCGCGCACAATTACCGAGCAATGGCGACATATCACGTGTAGTCATATAACAATGACTAGGATAATCGATGATTGCCCCACTCTTTTGTCTTCCCAAAAGTCATTAGTGTATCTCCGGTCTAATCCTCGTCTCTTACCTGTTTGCCGTCGCTTGTTGCAGTCTACCTGCAGATCTATAATATAATTCCACATTTATTTCCCTTCTCAAGCATCTCCTTCAAAAAAGCAGGCAAAGCTAACATCATGATGCTCCATTCAGGTGATTTCAATTTCTCAGACTTCAACACCTTCACCAACAACCACCCTACCAATTTCGGTAATCATGATGGCATGCCTTCGGTAATTCATCCAATTCAAACCAACCATCAAATCTACAATCCTCCTCCCTCATCCGCTGGCTCTCCTACATCTGCCCTTGTCTCCCCTCAAGTTGGAGAAAAGCGCAAAGCTGAGTCTTTATCTGATGGACGATCCCCCGACTTTGAGGATGCATCACGTATGGCTGCGGAAGAAGACAAACGTCGAAGAAATACGGCCGCTTCAGCTCGCTTCCGAGTTAAGAAGAAGCAACGCGAGCAAGCTCTTGAACAATCAGCGAAAGCTATGAGCGACAAAGTTGCAGCTTTGGAAGGACGCATCAATCAATTAGAAACTGAGAACAAATGGTTGAAGAATTTGATCACGGAGAAGAATGAGAGCAAGGAAGATATTGCCGCATTATGGAAAAAGTACAACAAGGATGCCGGTGACAGGAAAGGCGCTGAACGCAAAGATGGTGTGGGCACAGAAGCTTGAATTGTCTTCTGATGATGATTTTTTGTTCATTTCTGCTCACACGTTTCTTGTTTGGTCTTGCGTTTTGCGTTTGCGCCAGTTTGCGCTTGATTGAATTCGCGCCATGGTTGTTTCTGGGAGGTAATTTTCACATATATTATAGCTTGGGATTGGTATATATTTGAATGTGTTGGTGGAAGAAGATGGTACGATGGGATGTGGTTGATGATGGATGATTGAATGAAAGCATAACTGGAGTTCCGGATAGTGAAATTCCTCCTGTTCTCATCTCTCAAGTCTACTGGTAGATTTACAGCTTAGATTCACAATTACTGCTACGGCATGGTGTGTAACTCGGCTTACTAGACAGTTAGCTCAGCGAAACAAAATAAATCTAAATAAACATACAACAACTTACCTACCTAATTTGTACATACACATCATTGTGGGATCATAATTCATATTTGTCTTACGTGCATTTGAGCACGCCATTACAGCGACAGCTCTAATCCACCGCATCTAACCATAGCCGTAAAAAATGGTGATCCGAATCCCCAAATTCCCCGTTGAATAAAAAAACATCATAACCCCTCCAAATTGCGTGCGTGGGAATTCAAAACTCCCCTCCAAAATACCATCCGCTCCGGCATTTCTGATCAATCAAAAAATCTACGCATACCGGATAGGAGATGACGTTTTTGATGGGGGTTGTGGGGGATTAGCCGGTATGGAGTTGTGGATTGCCATGGGGAAATGAAAATTAGCCGATTATTGCAAGGGGCTCCGGCTAATTTTTTGCCGGTGAGGTGTGGGAACCGGTGTATGGGTGATGAGTTTATTTTGACTACGATGGTTGTTTTTGGGTAAAGACTTTTGAAATCTGTATAATCTTGAAGAGAGGCTTTAAGTTTTAGCTTGGGCTGCGAAGTGATTGTTCTTTTATGGGTTGAAGGACGAATGAACTGTGTTGTATGGATTATGACTAGCCGTTTGTTAGCCGGTGCAGCTAGGGTAAGGGAAATGATGTTGTGAACGTTGGTATTCGGATTGATTTTGTTGTTTTCATGTGTTGAGTAGGTGAAATGGGTTCTAGAGACTCAAATCGTTTGCTTGGGGGTTGAATTGGGAAGTTTTAGGTGTATGAGTGCGGTGAGAAGAATGTGATGTGAGTGGAATGGGGGGAGTCAAGATGAGAGATTCGCGCACCGCATGTGAGGATACCGGCATAAACCCTAGATTCTCTTTCTGGGTAGGAAATTTAGGGTTATTTTGCATTGTGGAAAGGCGATTCAAACGGAAAGCTCTTGGGTATTCACAGTCGTCGAATGCAATCCTCTACGAGTGAGCGCCAAACCCCAGAGAAATGAATGGAAAGCAATAGCTACCCTTCTTGTACTGAAGTTCTGTTTGTGCGAAATGGAGTTACTCGGTATTGGGTGTGGCGAATACTGCTCATCGTTGACTTTCTCGGCTTGTGTGTTTTCCCCATCGATGCAAGCGGAAATGCATTACGAAGGCTACGGATAGGGCGAAAAAATTCCTAGCCGGGACAGTATCATGAAGGAGGGATGATGAAGGAGAAAGGAAAGCGGCAACAATGCCGAAGAATCAATTTTATCAAGTCAATTGAAGAGGGTTTCTAGGTTCACAGCAGAGGGTCCTGCATCGGTTCCGGCAATATGATTGCGATCCCAATGCAGAAGGAATGTCAAGGGTGAAAACTGCAGAAAGGTATTCTGGTGTCATTCAACCGCCTCAGAAGTGGACTATTCTGGCCTTCGACGTTACCTTGATAATAAAACTACAAAATTTTCAAGGTCAAACGGAAAGGTGGCTAAGGAATGCATGCGCACAGTTATGGTCGGGTATGATTCACTTGCATGTTTGCCTGGACAGAAACTTTTCATTGATATTTAGAAACTAAATCAGTACGTAAATATCCTCCCGAGATGTTACTTAGCAGAAAGCTAGGACAGTGCAATAGGTAGTCTCATATTGTCTTTTTTTTTTTAACACACCGCCTTAAACTAGACTGCGGTGGTAACTTAATACAGATCGAAATCAAAACGCCTACCAATTTTCAGATACAGCAAGAGTAACGTTTAGTCCTCGTGCTCAGCTCAGCTCCCATGGAATACTCCTCACGGGACATCCTTTTCTCGTGGGTACGATAGTCCCGAGATCCGAGGTCTTCGCCCCGAATACAATCAACCGATTCTGATAATGAAAGTGAATACTGCAAAATCCCACACCTCAAAAAGCTTGAAACAACCTTTTTGAACAAAGAATTTACCCATTTCCAAAGAACTTAAGTCGACCTCATTTCGACTTCATAGACCTCAAATAGAAGGTCCCCCCCCCCCCCGGCTTTCCAGCTTCCCAGCCTATTGACCTCAAATTTATTGAGCTTCATTTTCCTCACTCTCGACCTCTCGAAGACTGCAATCTTGATCCTTACCAAGATAGACACAATTCATGCAAGCACCTTTGAAATGCTTTCCAGCCGGAATGCTTGCGCCAATGACGACACAGCTTGCAAAGGGTACAGAACCATCTTGCATGTGGTCAGCGCAATGTGTGCAGGCCATTTCTTGCTCCATTTCGGTGCCAGCAGCCTGTCCTGCACAAGCACGCCAGTGCTCAACATTCGTGTCGGCGATCTCACCATTTTGAGTGATATACTCTTGGACTGGGATGATGAGTTGCTCAGTGCTGAGAACGCGCAATTGACTGTGGATGGGATCAGGAAGGAAAGGAATATTCTCGACAGCATGCGAACAGAACTTATCCGTGATATCTGAAGGCTTTGGTCCTGAAGATGTTGGCTCGGAAGTTCGAGGCTTCTTTGGCGAGTTGCGAGGATGGACCATTGGATAGTTATCGGAGCCATCGTCGGACTCAATCACATCGTCGTCGTCAATCTCATAGTGAGAATCCGGAGCCGATGCTAGTGTTTGATGCCTGCGCTTGCTGCCGGCGGGTGTCATTCCAATATCATCAGAAGTATCAGTCGTCATACCACCGGCAGCTGTACGAGCAGCAAGTTCCCTCCTGCGACGCTCGTTCTCGATCTGCTTGTCATCAAACGTGGTCTTCCATTTGAGATTTTGACGTTCATGTTTTATCCCTGTATTTTCGATCATACCATGGTATTCACCCTTGATACGCCTTTCCAGATCAAACTTCAAACCGTCCTCATGACCTGTGCTGTACTCTCGGAAGAGATGTGGATTCATGTAACTTTTGAAGAGGTCTTCACGCATCAATCGATCAACGCATGCCACTTTATCTAGAAAATGCATCTTGGAGAGCGTCTTCATGAAGTCTTCTGCTGGTTCGACGTTGGAAAAAGCAGCAGCTTTGGGGTTCAATCGACTTGGAAGCTTGCGATCAAACCGGTTTTGTGGGATTCTTGGCTGTGAACCGGTCCCCTGAGCCTGTGGGGAGTCTGCCTGTGGACCAATATGGAATCGATGTGGTCTCCGCCGAGGTACACGTTGGCTCTGCTGTGTAGATGGAGCACCCGCTTGCGCAGATTGTCTATCGGACTGTCTTGGCTGTCTGTCTCTCTGTGTGGGCTGCTGTTGTGGTGTCACAGCTGGCGGAGCAGATGCAAGAAGTTGCATTGGAGGTCTCGCAATTTCTCTCAATCTGGCACTACCGCTCGTAAAGGATGCCGATTCACGTTGCTTGGCTGGCTGCTGAAAGATGTTTTGGTTTGAACGCTCGGGATATACGAACGTCATATGAGGCCCAACAGGATAACTGCTGTTAAATTCATGGACAGCTACAGGGTGCTCACTTGGCTGCTGTGCAACACGGTCAGACTGACTCGCAGCTTGTTCCTTGTTCATTCGCCAAGGCTCGGTACGGAAACCAGTAGGCGATGGATTTGTATCATGGAGCTCTTGGGCTGGAACGGGAGAAGTGTCGCTGAGCCTGCGGCTACCCATAGCTCCTAGTGCGTCCTCGATTAATGCACCGCTCTGTTGAAGTGCTCGTGGTGTATTGATAGAAGGAGCTTGATACTGTGCAGCTTGCTCCGAAAGTTGGCTTGGAACCCGTACTCCTTGTTGTGACTCTCTGGCTCCACGAGCTGGGACAGATGCTGGATCGCTGTGTCTACGTCTATCTGATTGTATCGGTGAACGCGTGCTCGATACATTACTTTGTTGAAATGACGCTGATATATTTACAGAAGCATCTTGACCTAGGTCATTATTCTGCGACGGTTGCTGTTGGGGTTGCGTTCCTTGGACAGCTCCAGTATCTTGACCCAATGTACCGGAAGGATCGTTTCGGATGTCATTGGATGGTTGTAAGATCGAGACATCGCTGTCAATCTCCGGGCCTGTTGATGAGCCATCGTATTCCCAGTGACCATAATATGCCAGAGGAACGATTTTCGGCGTCGCTCTAGGCAAATGGTTCAAAGGTAACGGTATGTCGAGACCAGTGGCAGTGTATGAAAGTCCCTCTTCCAATCCCTGTTCCAATACCCAGTGACCTGCAGGTGGCGCGCTCAGTGGACGGTTAAGTTGAGCTGTCATTATTTCATTGAAAAATACAGCTTGATATTGTTCACCTTGAGACGTTGACTCTTGTTGTGGAGCTTCACCATTTTGGGTGCTGCTAGCAAACTGAGTGGAATTACCAAAGGGAGGATTGTCAACCTGAATTGAAGATTGTAAACCTGCAGGAGTATCACTGCCAACAGATGAATTGGTATTTGTCTGATATTTTGATGGGACTGGTGTTCTGAAGCCAGTAGTGGTGGAGTCCATGTTATATTCGTCTGAGAATTCGCCTAATGGCGTATCTTGTTGCGAGACAGAAGAATTAGCACTTCCGAAATCGTTCTGGAGGCTCGGATTGTATAGAATCTCGTCAGGAGTAGAATATATCTCAAGACCTGTCATGCTTGGAAGTCCTCCATTGACCTGTGTATCAAAGTTGTCTATATTTGAGCTATATCGACAAGGCGATCGTGGCATTTGAGGTAGGACCGCGGTATTCTGGCGTAAATCCGAGGTCGGGTACCAGCCTTGAGATGAACCTTCTACATGCTGGCTGTTTTCATAGGGCCACTCTGTTTGAAACTCAGTGGGGGTCGGATTCGTTGAGGACGTGTCAGTGCTTGCAGTGGCTTTTACTCCTTCTATAAGACACAATTAGAAACCAAGGACCCCGATGTAGAGAAAGGAAGCGAAGAAAACATCGACAGATTCGGGAACTTACCAGCTACATCATTGCTAGTCGAAATTGCGATAGGAAGGGAGACTTGCTGGTTGATGTACCAAGAGAGGTTATCTCCTCCGTTGTGATTGTAAGACATATTGCTGATTACTTCGTATATCTTAGTTGCAGTGTTTACAATAGTTCTTGGTATAAGAATAAAAAGGCTAGCTACAGTGTCAGTCTTAGATAGGTGGACAGTTGTAAATTTTTCCCAATAGTCGACTGTTTTTTCAAGGTAGTTCAATGATGGGAAGCAAAGAATTATAATTGTTGATTGAGAAGTATTAAAAGGTCGGATTATCTGTGGAAAGATTCTTTTGAGCCGAGTCTAGTCTAGAGAAGGGACCTGATTGCTGTCTTAAAAAGAAACACTTAGAACGCTAGGCTAACATTACAGCAGCTTGCTAGACAAAAACGAGACATTCAACTTCAGACCGTGAATTATTTTCTGGAATAGATCACCCAAACATAAGTCCGTTCTTTCTGGCAATTTAATTGGCGCTAATCCGAAGGTACATTTCCATGTTTTTTCACAATGTGAATTTCTAGAAAGACTTGCACAGGTTATCTGGTGCACCTCATAAGTTCTTTAGTGGGACAATTTCATACTACTTCATAGAGGTTGACCAATTCAGAGGTTTTTTTATGTACATGATGACCATGCAAGCATATGGTACAGGAAGCCAAAGAAAATGCATACGGCAAGAAAAGAAATTTCTTTACGGTGTAGCCTTTACATACATTCACAATCTGTTTTCCATTTGCAAACTATTCCATGCACCAATTCTAAAGGGAAGTTCGATGAAGTTAGCCAGTTTGTGTACTTTTCATCATGTGTTGGCTTACTGCAGAATGTAAGGGTGTTTTGAAAGTTCATTCAAGATGTGTGAAGGAACAATTGACAATGCAAGGAGCTATATGAGAGCATCTTGGCCCCATTTCAAACACTTGGATAGTTTTGAAGGTTGGATACTAGTTCTTCCATTATCTAAACAGCCAAAGCAGATACAACAGCAAGTATGAAGGAAAAACCGTAGTCAATCACCAGAACAAAACAAACACAATGCTGTTTTCTAAGATATTGCGTAGGCGTAGAGAATCGAGGATTGACGAATGGGGGCATCATTTGAATGGGAGAAAAACAGCAATCTTGTTTGTGTTCTAAGACGACCAAGGGACAAAAAGTTGATGCACTCCATAAGGTGAGTCTCTTCAATAACATCTCATGCCATCAGACATTTGGAGAGCAAGAGAAGGTTTGGATCAGGCTGATTCTGACGATCTACCCGGCTATCGTTTCTTCTTCTATACTCAATATTTCAGTAACCTGATTGGACTCCACTGCGAGCGTGGCACAAATCATTCGAAGTAAGGCTTAATTGCCTTCAGTGCAGCTTCTCAAAGTCATATTGCTAGCAATCAGAGTATTATGTCAAGAACAAATAAATATACGCCCAAACTTCGAGTCTCGTGACTAGTGACTTGTGATTGTATTGACTAAGCATCAGCAATGAAGCCACTGTCTAACGAATGATGCTGACGGACACTTACTGGCCGGGATCTGTGTATGCGATGCCATGACGTTCCAGGCTGAAAGTCAGGTTATTCTGCTTGTTATGCTCTTGCATTGAATCAGAATGTATGTTGTGTTCTCAAGAGTGTGGCATTTCACGGAACATATTGTTCCATTGTTTCAAATATACACTCTTCAGCCTTATCTTGACAAAGCTATTGATCATCTATGCATGTTAGTAAATATCCGGCAGCCACATGGTCTTGTGCTCTTCATATGACATTGGAGTTTTCCGTGGGTGTCAGTGATCATGAGAATTGCGCCTTAGAAGCCACTGAAAACGTCCTGTCCGACTCGATGTTGAGGATATCAGAATCTACTGCACGAGATATATCCATTTAATAGATAATCGGACCGTCGTCCTACTCATGCCAAGATTGCGACGAGTAGAAAGAAAAATGATGTGGTGAGATTTGATCTGACTGCTGGCAAGTGACACGGTATCTGGTCGAAGAACTTCAGCCTGATAATATTCTAGGCTTTGCCTAAGGTTCCCCAAAGCCTTGATCTATAATTTCTTGATATCAGAGTTGAGAGAGTCAGCAAGTGGATGGATGAGTGAGTGAGTGAGTGTGGCATCTCACCACGGTGATAGTGATGGTGACGGTGATATGTAAATATGTATGAAAGTGACATGGGGTTGAAAGAGGTAGGGTTGAAGTGTCAGGAGTTCACTAATTCTTACTTCTTGATAATCCATCAAAAAATAAAGAAGGTGGCGACACGTGATCACCTGATTAACATCGGGCATTGAAAGACCTGACCAATCATTAATCTGAAAATAAATCACAAGCGCTATCTTACGCGTTAAACGCTATCTGGCTTCTACTTTAGTCTGATCCATAATTGTTTCGCGAAATGATAACTACCAGGTAATGCTTTGAGTTTGACTGACTTGTCCGCCACTAGCAAAATAAGCTCCGCAATGACTGAGATAAGACAAAACTTCGCAATCATGTCGAACTTCATTCCTTTATTATTCAATAACATATTCTCCGAGCTTAAATTTCAAGCTTGTGAATTACTGTCATCACTTTTGAGGGTTTTCAACAATATCAGACCAAAGATCGCCCGAGCCCCACCCTTGTCACATAATTTCAAGGGTTCATGGCAATTCGAAGTAACTAGCGGTCTTCATCACTGTTTGTTTCGTCCCATACCGGTACGGTCAAGGGAATAAATCATCTCGAGAAGTACAAGTATGCAAATGATTTGGGTATGAAGCAGACATAACTACCATATGCTGATACAATCAACCTAGATTTACAGTCTTTCAACATGAGCGGAATTGGCTTAGGCCATCTTTGCTGGGTCTTCACACTCTGGATCTTGCATGGTGTTAGCTCTTCCACTGTCACAAACACTGGCAATCGTGGAGCAGTGGCGAGTGAAAGCAAAATATGCAGTGAGGTTGGAGCGGAGCTTATAGAGAGAGGTGTAAGTGACTCCCCTATTGATAATTGATTTGAGACTTATCACGTGGGTGGTATAGGGAAATGCCGCAGATGCTATGGTTGGTACCACTCTATGCGTTGGTGTCATCGGTAAGGCCGTTCCTCATTTTTAAGAATCGCCCTCCCCCCCGTATTAGACTTACAAATTCTCTTAAGGAATGTATCATAGTGGTATAGGTGGAGGGGGCTTTATGCTAGTACGTAGCTCAGAAGGGGAATACGAGACCATAGGTAAGATGCACGGGAGGCTCACTTTGTTTCACCTAGCTTACACTCCAGCAGACTATAGAGAGACAGCTCCAGCCGCTGCATATCGAGACATGTTTAGAAAAGATCGCAGCAGAGCCGTGGTCGGTGGAGATGCAGTCGCTGTTCCAGGTGACCTTCGAGGACTTGAATATCTTCACAATAAATATGGAGTATGTACTTCTTCAGTTTGAGATGATGACGCTTAACTGATATTCTCCAGCAACTACCTTGGCAAATCGTTTGCAATCCGGCTGTACATATCGCTAGAAATGGTTTTCCTGGTATGTAGCTTTCACAATTCTTTATGTACGTCACTAATCTGGACTAGTGACGGAAGATACAGTTTACTACATGCAAGCAGTTAAGAATCAAGTCGACTGGAATTTTCTTGAAGAGGATCCAAACTGGGCTATGGACTTCGCTCCGAACGGTACACTCCTTGAATTGGGTGATACAATGAAAAGAGAGCGATATGCCAACACGCTAGAAACGATTGCTAACAAAGGAGCTTCGGCATTTTACGAAGGGGAAATTGCAGATGCAACCATTGCAGCCATAAAGGCCACAAATGGAACCATGACTTTGGCCGATCTCAAAGACTACGAAATCAAGATTCGCAATCCCATCAACATCACTTATCGTGGCTACACTATCCATTCAACCGGCACTCCCTCCGGCGGTTCCATAGCCCTGAGCATTCTTAAGACCATTGAAGGATATGACATGTATAAAGAATCCGATTTATTTCTGAATACCCATCGACTCGATGAAGCCATGCGTTTTTCATATGCCGCTCATTCCGAGCTAGGAGACCCGTCATTTTTTGACGAGATGGTCAGATTCGAAGAAGGAATCATTTCAGCTGAAACTGCAGATTCTAATAGACGAAAGATCCTAGACGATAAGACACAAGACGTTGGAAGGTACAATCCAGAAAGGTGGGATATCATGGGAAATCATGGGACATCGCATATGGTTGCTACCGACGCTTCTGGCCTTTCAATAACCTCAACATCAACCGTCAATTTACTTTTCGGTTCTGCCGTTATGGTTCCCGAGACTGGTATGTTATCCTGAACACTTGTTCTCTTGGTTTGAGTTCATGACTTGCAGAGCTAATCTGTCTCTCTTCACCCACGTTTCAAAGCATATTGAATCAATAATTTTGCTTACAATTTTACAGGAGTTATTCTTAATAACGAGATGGACGATTTCTCCATCCCTGGCGTTCCCAATTACTTTGGTTTCGTCCCTTCACCTATGAACTATGTTCGTCCTGGGTAAGTCCGAGCCTTCTTTGCGTACGAATATACTATTCATTAACCATCAACATTAGTGCCCGCCCTATGAGTTCTATCTCCCCCATTCACATCTCCCACCCTAATGGCTCCCACTTCCTTTCCATCGGCGCCGCCGGCGGATCACGAATCCCCACGTCAACAATTCAAGCCATCATCAACATAATCGATCACGGCATGTCTCTCGAAGAAGCACTAAAGCAACCTAGAATGCATGATCAATTACTACCCGAAAGAACGACCGTAGAACCGGGATTTGATGAAGAATTGCAGGAATATTTGGAGGAAAGAGGACACAAAATTGGGAAAGCAAGTGGAAGAGAGAGTGCTGTACAAGGTGTGAGAGTTTGGGGCGATCTCTCGATTGAGGGAGAAGGGTTGGCTGGAGAAGGATGGTTGGAGGCTATTGGAGAGCCGAGACAGAAGGCGAGTGGGGGAGTTGGTGTATGAGTGTCTTGAAGAAGTTGAGTTGGTGGAGGCGGATGGAGGAAGGTGCGCTCCGCGCGGTTAAATTGCACAAACCCCCTCTTCCACGACTGCTAACCTTGGTTGAGCTTCAAATGATGAAACTCATGATCTAGAACGAAGATCATTAGAATTTGTTTTCTTTACAGGATTGCCGATAGAATTTGGATAAGGTGTATGGAAAGATTATGGATATAGTTAGAGGTGGTATCACTCAGATGAACTTCTAGATATGCATAGAAAGACAGGCGGGTTCGCATCTACCACATCAGCGAAATCATAGAAACAACACATACAATCATTCATTTATCTTAGACGAGAGAGTTGTTAATCTGATGTCATCATTTTCCTCCATCTGAAGTCTAGATGTTGCAGTATCGTCTGAAGTATAACGTGAACAGTTTCTTATATATTTTGGTATTTGCTATATATTTATTTGCATATGTATTCTATCAATTCTCGACCACCACAAAGCCATAACATTGAACCATATGAATTATATTCAATTCAGACTTTCTATTGAGTTCTCCTAATCCCTTCCCATTTCCTCCTTAAAGTCACCAACTCTTCCATACCTACAATCCACTTTTTCGCAAACTCCGCTTCTGTAAATCTTTGAGCTGATTTCCTCGCTCTCAATCTCATCGCTATCTTATCTTCTCGGGGGAGTGCTAGTGCGCCCTCGAAACCTTCAGCAAATTGTTCTGCTGTTGATGCATGAAAGCCTACATTCAGGGATTAGTTTTGCTCCAGACAAGCGAGATGGAAAGGAGTAAGAAGAAAGAAGCAAAAACATACCTGTAGGCAAACCATCAATTTTCGTAACAATATCTCTCTTTGGGCCACCACTGTCATGAACAACACTAATCAATCCTGCCGCCTGGTACTCCACAACTCCGATTCCAAAATGCTCATTCCACATCCCGTTGACTCCAACACTGGCTTTACCTAACCATTTCAGAATATCCGGCCAAGGCGCATCCAAATGGAATTCAACATCGTCTTTGACTTGTAGTTCGTTTGCCAACAGGCGCAATTGATATACGCGCTTTGAATCAGAGTCATCGCGAACACTCCCGATAAGGATAAGTTTTGCGCCTTTAGCTGCTGGGGATTTAGTGGCTTTGAAAGCGGCGAAGGCGGTTAGAATGAGTGTATGATTTTTCTCAGGGCGGAATTGCGCAATGTAAAGAAGAGCTGGTTGACGTATTGCTTCGGATTCGGGGGTAACAGAGATCTTCTCCTCGAGCTCTTCGACGGCCACAGGAGGGAAGACTGCTGTTGCGATGGACTTCTTTAATTCGCGTCGCCATTCTCCCCATAGCGATGTTATATGATCGAGTGTCCAATTAGAATTTGTGAGAACTACATCAATTGATGCTCCGACCCAGGTATAAAATTTCGCAAATAACTTCCAATAGAGCTTCTTTGCCTCTCCTCTTAATCCTGTTCCCTTTCCAGCGTTCACCCCTTGCTTCCCGGTGGCAGATGTAGGATCTAAAGAGCCTAGCATATCTGTCGAAATGGTTGGATAATGAACGTATGCTCCAGTCGGTACTTCGGGGAACAAAATCTTGCAGAATCCAAGCGCAAAAGCATAGCCCATTGTATCCACAAAAATATCGGGGACAACCAGAGAGAACGCATCCCACGCAAGTATAAGAGATCCAATTGATTGACCTAGAAGTGTGAAATGGGGCCATGTGGATGCTAAAACCCAATGTCTAGTTGTGAGGTATAAGAAGGTAATCGTTGGTGGATGGAGTTGAATATTGAAACGATCCTATTAGCTATAATCAGCCGGCGCATTCTGTGAGCATAGTAGCCACGCCATACCTTCACTCTAGCAATGATCTGCGACTTATCCACATCGTGATCTCCAGTATAGACAATACATTTCGCATTTGGCCATCGTTTTTGGGTTGCTAAAACTGCAGCCCATAAAACACGTTCACCACCACCTCCAGCATTACTGAATTAATGTTAGCCAAGTCAGTATGAATTCAAGCAAAAAAACATCTTCATACCAGAAGGGGTGAAAGAATCCAACAATGCCATCCCATTCCTTATCATCCTTCACTCCCGTTCCACTCGTAGATTCTATATTCTCCCAATCATCACTATCCCGACTCTTTTCCTTGTTCTCCCTATACTCTCTCTGATCAATCTCCACCCTTTCCAAAACTTGAGCTTTCCTCCCAGCTGTCTTTTGCCTCAAGTAGAACCCCACAGTGCGTCCGACGTAACCTACGAGCTTCGGGCCTCCTAAAAGAACAATCAAAGGTGTCGCACCAAGAATCAAGGCTACTAGAATTGTCCATTTGGTATCCAGCCCAAATGTCCACATATCGCTACCGTCTGAAGCTTTGCATGATTCCGCCATAACTTTTTGAACGTACAAGTAAGAAGAGAGGGGAGGGGGGTTTTATCTCGAGTTTCCAGGGTTACTGTGTCACTTTAGCTGTGACGCGCAGGCGGTGGAGCGTGCGGCCGCGTGTACCGATGCGGGACCTCTTTTTTCAAGGATGACATGTGAACGGAACTTCCGACTTTAGAAAATAAATGGTCAAGCCATGTTGACAAGAATACTGAGAAATTGATCGTTGCTCTTGATTTGATTGTCTCTTTACTGCGCAGAGAAGAGAAGTCAAATCACGATGTCTACATTGTTTCGGCCGGCCCGCACATTAATGCACCCTTCTACCAGCTCAAAAATCCCGAGATTATTCTTGCAACTTCCTCCGACTTATCGATCGTTCCATGCCTCCCCACGAACTCAGTCTCTCGATTCTGTATTAATAGCTACACATGGGGTTTTAGAAGGACTACACTCTTTTACTGGCCTCCCATGGGCTTTTACACTACCTCTCACTGCTTTAGCTATTCGGACTGTCCTTATCTTCCCACTCGGCATCAATTCACGACGAGCTGCGCAAAAACAAATCGACTTAATGCCCCTCATGAATGCATGGCAACATCAATTTAGAAAACAATCAATACAAGAGGTTGGCCATTTAGGGCCGGATGCGGCAAACCAGTTTGTTAAGGACAAAATGAATAAGAAGAAGAGTGAACTCTATTCAAGACACAATTGTGGTACTTGGAAACATTATCTGCCATTTTTGCAATTGCCCGTCTGGATGATCGCTGTAGAGACGATTCGAAAAATGTGCGGCGCGCATGATGGATTATTGAAATGGATCGAATCGCTGTTCACATCGAGTAAAGCAAATGAGGCAACGGCTACCACGGATCTTGACCTGGGCTCTCTACTATTAGAGCCAACCTTCGCGACAGAAGGGGCATTGTGGTTTCCCAATCTTCTCATTTCGGATCCATTGTTGATACTACCTTTCATGCTCTCTGGGTCCATTCTATTGAATCTCACAAGCCAGGGGAAACCTAAGAGTGTATTCATGAGGAGATTAATGAATTCGTTGAAGGTAGTCGCTCTTGCAATTATCCCACTTACATTGCAGATGCCGAGTGCAATGTTGGTGTATTGGACATCTTCCTCTTTACTTGCTTTTGGACAAGCCAAGATGTTGGATGTTTTTATGCCGATTAGAAAACCTGTAGTACCATGTAAAGGGGGCCAGCCTGTTAGATATGCAGGTACCAGGGAGAGGAGTTAAAGACATAGCATGGTTGCTATGGACAATAGGCAGTAATGATCCAAATAACTGATATACCCTGTGAGAGATGAATAATGATCGGCGTTAGAGTCAAGAAAGGAATGAAGCATGCGATTTCGGACTTGAAGGATTGAGCAGCGAAACGTAACCCATATTGGCAGCACAAAAAGGAGTGGAACGTTGGTGCGGGCAAATGGATAATTTGAGACGAATCTAATCGTCGACTGGGGGACGCAAATCAGTAGCTATGCTTTTTCACAACAGTTCTAACTGTCAAAGTACGTACCTCACCATCATCATCATCTACAATATCTAGACAATTTGTGACATATCTCTCTTGCCCCCTCGCTCCCATCTTCCCATACCTAGGTAGATATCTATTACAGCAAGGTAATGAATTAACTGGATTCACTCATGTAACTTTTCAGCCTTTTAGTCAAAGTTCCAATCACTTGCTGCCCATCCTTGTTCCAATAAAAAACACGCTAGCATAGTATTGTGCACGCTAGATTACCAATTAGCACTTATTTTCAACGCGTCCCTGCGAAGTGTGGAAAAGTCGCGTAAAGTGTTCCCTCTTAAAAACACTTGGGATCCATTCTCATAAACTCTTCCTTTGTTTTTTCCTCAAGAACGATTCCCTCCTACATTTCAATCTACAATACATCCTCTCTTTTCTATTCAAAGGTTGATTGATTGTAGACTTGACTGTACTCAAGTTTATTTATTATTTCTAATTTAATAGTGGTTTGCTTTCCACTCATCGTTTTTCTTCACCGTCCGGTTTGATTAACCCCTCCAAAATTTACAACGGAATTTACGAACCAAACCGACGCCATCATGTATGTCTACAAGAGAGGTATGTACACTGATTGAAAGTCCCTCTTTCTGCCTGTACTCACTACATATAGATGGACGTAAGGAACGCGTTCAATTCGATAAAATCACAGCTCGTGTGTCAAGATTGTGTTATGGTCTCGATCCTGATCACATAGATGCTGCTGCCATTACCCAAAAGGTCATTTCTGGTGTTTACCAAGGTGTTAATACTATTGAGCTTGACAACCTCGTAAGTTGACCCATCCTTCACAAGAACGCACCGAGACCAGTTCTCGCTCCAAGGAATACTGCTGACTTCATTCAAAGGCCGCAGAAACTGCTGCATATATGACAGTCACCCATCCCGATTATGCCATTCTAGCTGCTCGTATTGCAGTCTCAAACCTTCACAAACAAACCAAGAAACAATTTTCCCACGTAATTCGCGATTTATACCAATATACAAACCCAAGAAATGGCACAGCATCTCCTATGATTAGCAAGCAAACTTACGAATGTGTTATGAGACATGAAGAGGAACTCAACTCTGCCATCGTCTATGACCGAGATTTTAACTACCAATATTTCGGATTCAAGACCCTCGAGCGATCATATCTTTTACGTCTTGATGGCAAAGTTGCAGAGCGTCCACAACAGATGGTCATGCGTGTTGCCGTTGGTATTCACGGTGATGACATCGAAAGTGCAATCGAAACTTACAACTTGATGTCCAACAAGTACTTTACCCACGCTTCCCCAACACTCTTCTCTGCAGGAACTCCACAAGCACAACTTTCATCATGCTTCCTCATCGATATGAAGGAGGACAGTATTGATGGTATTTACGATACTTTGAAGATCTGTGCCATGATTTCAAAGAATGCTGGTGGTATTGGCCTTAACATTCACAGAATTCGTGCTACTGGTGCATACATCGCTGGTACCAACGGAAACTCCAACGGTATTGTTCCTATGCTCCGAGTTTTCAACAACACTGCCAGATATGTTGACCAAGGTGGTAACAAGCGTCCTGGTGCATTTGCTGTCTACCTTGAGCCATGGCATGCGGACGTTTTCGAGTTTCTTGATCTGCGCAAAAACCACGGCAAGGAAGAAGTTCGTGCACGCGATCTCTTCTATGCCTTGTGGATTCCTGATCTGTTCATGAAGCGTGTTGAAAAGAACGGAGAGTGGACCCTGATGTGCCCGAATGAGTGCCCTGGTTTGGCAGATGTTTATGGCGAGGAGTTCGAGGCTCTCTACGAAAGTTATGAGAAGGCAGGCAAGGGTCGCAAGACTATCAAGGCACAAAAGCTTTGGTACTCTATTCTTGAGGCTCAAACCGAGACCGGAAACCCTTTTATGCTTTACAAAGATGCATGCAACAAGAAGAGCAACCAGAAGAACCTTGGTACTATTCGCAGTTCCAACTTGTGCACAGAGATTGTCGAGTACTCTGCACCAGATGAGGTCGCTTGCTGTAACTTGGCTTCCATTGCTTTACCAACCTTTGTCAACATGAATGAGGGAACTTATGATTTCCAGAAGCTTCACGAGGTTGTTCAAGTCGTTGTTAGAAACTTGAACAAGATCATTGACATCAACTACTATCCCGTTCCAGAAGCCAGAAAAAGCAATTTCCGTCACCGACCTATCGCAGTTGGTGTTCAAGGTCTTGCTGATGCTTTCTTGGCGCTTCGTCTTCCGTTTGACTCCCCAGAAGCCAAGCACCTCAACATTCAAATTTTCGAGACCATCTACCACGCTGCCTTGACCTCATCCGTCGAAATTGCAAAGGAACTTGGCCCATACGAAACTTACCAAGGCTCCCCAGTCTCCAAGGGTGAACTCCAATACGACATGTGGGGTGTTACACCTACTGACTTGTGGGATTGGGATTCTTTGAAGCAATCCATCAAGCAACACGGAGTTCGTAACTCGCTTCTTGTTGCACCTATGCCAACTGCCAGTACTTCTCAAATTCTTGGCTTCAATGAATGTTTCGAGCCATACACTTCGAACATCTATTCCCGTCGTGTTCTTGCCGGAGAGTTCCAAGTCGTCAACCCATGGCTCCTCAAGGACCTTGTCGATATGGGACTCTGGTCCGACAACATGAAGAACCGTATCATCGCTGATGGTGGATCTATTCAAAACATCCCCAACATTCCAGCTGACATCAAGGCCCTTTACAAGACCGTTTGGGAGATTTCTCAACGAACAATCGTTCAAATGGCTGCTGATCGTGGTGCGTTTATCGATCAATCTCAATCAATGAACATTCACATGAAGGATCCTACAATGGGCAAGATCACATCTATGCACTTTGCTGGTTGGAAATTGGGCTTGAAGACCGGAATGTACTATTTACGTACTATGGCTGCTTCAGCACCTATTCAATTCACCGTCGATCAAGAAGCTCTTCTTGTAGCTGACACCAACGTCGCTCGTGAACGTACCTTGAAGAAGCGCACTCTACCATCTTCCGGTTATGTCTCAAGCGCTTCGTCAATCAATGGCGGTGGCCCAAGACCTATGTATGCTGGTAAATCATCCGCACAATCCATTGGTGCACCAAAGGATGTACCAACACCAAGCATTACACCTCCACCTGCGTCAAGCAAGGAAACTCACACTCCAGTTGCTAAGACTCCTTTCAAGGCTGATGTAGAGGAGGGTGATAGTCCAAAGGCACTCGCTACTGAGCCTACTGATGCAGTTCCTAAGGAGGAAGAATTACTTGAGTCAAGTGTTGAGAAGAAGACCCAAGATGAGGATCAAGGCAAGGACAGTACCGATAGAGAGTATGATATCTATGCTGATGCCAAGTTGCAATGTAAGTTTTCTCCATTATCTTCTCATCAAATATTTCACATACTAATAAACATATAGGCAGCATTGATAACAAAGAGGAATGTATGATGTGCAGTGGATAGGATAGATATGTTAGATGAGAGATGAGTAAAGCTCAGGCTTTGGTGCTTTTGGTTTTGGGGGGAAGGGGGTAATAAGGCGTTGATTTATTGATTGATTGTCATTTTTACGGGAATGGCAGGATGGATGGATGGATAAACAATATGGCTATTATGTAGGTACGATATCGATGTTGTATGAATAATTGAGGTTACGGGTGAAGAAATTAGTCTTGAGGAACATTTGCAATTATGGGAAGTTACTTTTAGTGCTCTAGTCTAGATAGTTCATTGCTATGATTGTTTTACAAATTGTTTGTGCACGTGGTGAGAATATGGTTCAATTATATTTTTGTCTGTGGGTATACCCCGAGGATAGTTCAGAAGAGTGAGATGGGAAATCAGCTACCAAGCTCCCTCCCGCTTCCACTCTTCTTCCATCTCTAACTTATCACACTTTTCTCTTATATCCTTCTATTCACCTAACTCGCTTCCCCTTATTCCTTCCATCCCATACCCCGTCCTCCTTTCAGTCCCCAAATGTTCCCATACATGGTAACTCAATTTCCTCGACATATTCGAGGTAAACACCTGATTTCTCTCTTCCGTGCTTTCAGAAAATAGCATCAGAGGCCTTAGTCTGAAGTCCCCTGCTAATTCCTTACTCGATTGTCAACTCATCCTTCTCCTGATCTCGGTAATGGTTACAGCTCATTCTCTTGCAACTTCTCAACCATCCCTTCCCTTCTTTTCCTTGGGATTGCAATTGCGATTGTTTGCTTGATTGTATTGTACTATATGTATAAGTAGATAGTAGATACTACCTAAGTAATTTTACTACCCATATACCTAACAAATATAAGTAGGTATAAGTATACACTTACTCACTCACCCCCTATTCATAAATCCAAATCTCTCACAGCATCGCTTCTCTCTCTTTCAACTTGCAACCTCCAACTTTCAAAGCCCCACGAGCTCCTCCCCTCTCCTCTTCACATTCCTCTTTTCCACCTTACATCGATTTTCAGTTGGAAAGTGCATAGTACATCTCTATTCTATTTTGTTCTATTGCATTCTATTCTATCCAATTCAAGTAAACCACCAATTCGATTCGACATGTTAATCTATCGATATATAAATAATTACAAATACAAATACAAGTATACATACATAATCAGAGTCTAGAATGGATACAGAACATTTTTTCGTAAAGAAGTGATGCATGTATAGATACATACATACATACCAGTAGCTCAAGCAAGTGTATATACATACACACATACACACACACATAGCATAGTCAATCCAACACCAAACCCAAACTCACCCAATCTATACCCAACTTTACTATCCTATACAATATACTATACTACACAATACAACACTACATCATCATCACCCCCCTCTTCATATATAATAAATAGTCTTTCCAATCACATTATCATCTACCATCCACCACATAACATACACCATCAATAACTAACCAGTTTCGCCTCCCGCCTGTAAGAATATTTCCCGTCGGCCAGCCAGCCTGCTGCATACCCGGAGCAAAGCAAAGCACTATAACCCAAGTACCTCTGCTAACCTTAAACTTCCTTCTCCTTTCACTACCGAGTCCCGCTTCTTTTTGTACCCAGTGACTGAACTCCAATCCGCTCATTCTAGGCCAAGCCAAGCCAGCGCGAACGCGAAGCGAAGCATCTGCACTTGAATATTTACTAAGTGAGTAACATTGGTAGAGATAACAATGGCCTATTTCAATTCGGCATTCATCCGTCACCTTCATTAAAGATCATCATATCAAGAAAATTGTTTCACTACATCACAAAAGGATTTCAGATAATAACTTTAATAGTATAAACCATCGTTCTTAAACTATTTATTACAGTTCATATTTCGCACCATCAATCATGCTTAAAAGCAGAATGAGTACTATTTGCCTGTCCACCCATACCATGCCATGCCATGCCATGATCTCATTTACCCACCATTAAATTTCCATTAACATCCACGGATTAACCCCAATTGTTATTACCATGTCTATGGCGTCATGTGCATAGCTTCATATGATATGTATGACCAGAAATCCCATCCATACCTATCATCAAATGCCCCCATACCATCCATCGTGAAAGTCGTCAAAAGTTAAAGAAAGAAATTGTAAAATAGTATGATCAAGAATCGAAAAAAGAGAAGGGTATCGTTGCGAGTCCAACCACACTCAAATTCCATTATATTCACCTTCAAAGGCATTGCCATATCAATTCGATATGGAAATGGACATCATGAAGTTGTTTACAAGAAAAGAGCAGCGAGACCTGCAGCGGCCATCAAACCAGTAGCACCAGTTGGGAGGGAACCCATGGCGGATGAGGTTGCGGATGCTGCAGCGCTACCAGCGGCAGAGGTGGCGGAAGAGGCTCTGCTGGTGGCAGATGAAGCCAAGCTGGAAGCACCTGAAGCCAAGCTAGAGGCGGCAGATGAAGCTGAGGATTGAATGGAAGAGATAGCAGATCCGGCACTGGATGAGATGGCAGAAGCGGAGGAAGCAGCCTCGGAAGAAACGCTGGCAACAGCTCCAATACCAGAGATGGTGGTGGATCCTACAGTGGTCTCAAAAGTGGAAGAATCACTGGTGACGGTGGAGACGATAGCAGAGGTGGTGATGGCAGAGGAGACACCGGTGTCAGTTGGGCTTGGAGTGCTGTAAATGGTAGAAGATCCAACGGTAGACTCGAAAGTAGAATCATCGCTGGTAATGGTGGAGACGACAGCTTCGGTAGAGATTGGAGTTGAGGATACAACAGCAATACCGCCGGCACCGTAAATTGTAGTAGAACCAATGGTGGTAGTGATGGTCTCAGATCCAGAGGTAACGGTTGCAAGGAGAGCAGAGGTGGTGATAGCAGAAGAGCTGGCAGCAGCCTATTGAAATTTGTTAGTAAATATTTACTTTCACTTCACGATGATATCATTGTTGAAATCAATCTGTTCCTGGACGCCTAAATTTCTTTGTCGTTGGAAATATTTGGGGAACACCGAGAACCCCACAAATAGAAATTGACGTCATGCCATGGAAAGAAGGAATGAATAAAACTTACAGATGACTCAGCTGAACCACTGCCGGAAGCAGAGGCGGTAGAAGTAGCCAAGGTGGATGACTCGGCGGAACCAGTGGTAGAGACAGCTATTGAGTGTTAGAACAAGATCAATTTAAAATTTGAAATCAGGAACATCATACCTGCACAGTAGCTTTGGCCGTAGGCGATAACGGAAACAGCAGCTTCAGTACCACATGCGGCATTGGAGCAATCACGGATACCATAGGCAAAGTCTGGCTTGGTGCAAAGACAGGCAGCATCAGGGGAAGAGCATCCAAGACCTTGAGCTTGAGCGAGCATGTTGCTGATACAGGTTTGCTATAGAGGAAATAAGATTAGTCATTGCATATGGAAGAGAGAAAAGTCGCAATCAAGTGGCACAAAGCGCATGCAATTTGACGGCGACGACATGAGCATATGGTAACAAGAATTAAATACTTACACCACATGATGGAAGATCGGTGAGGGTTTGAGCGACGGAAGCAGCTGCGAAAGCGCTGATGGCGAGGATAACTGAGGACTTCATATTGATTATTGTGGTTTGAGGAAGTATACTTCGTAAGTTGTATTATAGAATCTTTTGAGATTGAAGAGAGTTGGTCGTTTGAAAAGATTTAATGGATTGAGATGGTGATTAGAAGTTATTTATCTTTACTTTTGAAGATGGATATGGAAAGGTGTGACGAAAGTGGATGGGAAGATGGAAGAAGGTTTTTTCTTTGTTTATAGAAAAGTGAACTGGTTTGAAAGTAAGTTGGGTTGGGGGGTGGAAGTGAATCTTATTATAAATTTTAACAAACGAGGAAGGACCATGAAAAGCCGAAGTGAAGTCAGAGTGAATATTGAGCCTTGACTATCATGATTAGAGTGAAGCTTGATTTTTTTTTTCTTTCCTTTCTTGCTTGGGTTGAGAAATTAGCTTGGATGGGAAAGAGTGACGAAAGGGAAATCCAGACCCATGAAAATGAAGCTAAGGTAAGGTACCCAATTTGCCATCAGTCTCTTAGAGAAGTTAGAGTCTGGTAGAAGCTGGGCATGATTGTTAGCTCTCTCAACCAACCAATTGACTAATTCACAATCGAGTTAATGAGGTAGATCTAATCCATTTGTAGTTAGATTCTTCTGGATAAAGGTGCTTATTTACCTACGAAGTATTCGCTTTGACAAGATCCCTGGGTACAGAGTAGACGGTTTGGATATCAAAAACTAATTACCAATTGAAGCTGTATGACCATCATCTAATTTTAATCATTGTAAGTTGTAAGTTGTAAGTTGTAAGTTGTACCTCAAGTATATGGATACTCTGATGATTCAATATTTACAAATCCAAATTCATTCATTTATTACCCCTTTGGGAACAATCGGTTGACCTCCGTGTGCCCAGTGTCTTTTCATCTGAATATTCCAATATGAATAAAAATTATACTTTGCGAGGGTCACTTTGCCAACAAGTCCGTCTAGGCTGGCCATGTCTTTTCCCCAAAGCTTGGAAACTCTCACCGATTTGTGAACTCGCAAATGTACGTTACCGTTTTGACTGTACTAGTTGATGCATCTTTACTTCATTCATTGTCAAGGGCCAGTAGTATCATCAGAAGTGGAGGATACCAGCCACGAATTCGATATAAGATGGCTGGAAATATGATTTTCCTTGTATGCGCACCAAGACGGGATTTGGGGGAGTGATGTTGTCCAGCTTTCACTCGCCCGCAGATACTGATGCTTGGGCATTGGGTACATGTCAAGTTCCAAGAAATCGCTGGTACATTTCTCCGCATTTATCGACAAGGAAGAGGAGTGAAACGGAAAACCCAAGGTTGGTTTTGGGAGGTAGAGGCATGAGGCATGCAAGTAAGGTCGAAAGCAGATGTGGCGTGGCGTGGCGCATTCATCTAGTTCCAAGGTTCTTTCTGACATCACGGACAGTGTGGCTGAGATTAATGATATCCATGGATTGGTGATATTGGTGATACTGCATGGACAATCAAATGTTTCTCATACCATGCTATGCTATCCATACCATAACAGACCATACCATCCCATCCCATACCATCCGGGTAACTTTACCTTCTATCCCATCCCCAGATCTTCCATGTTTAATTTCATGCTTTTTTGATCATCCACTCACATTTTAATTACCTAGTAGGTACCCTTTGGCATTCTTGAGCTAATCATCTTGCAAGTCATGGTTACACAGATGCTGCTCTTTTCCAGCGATATACGTACGCGGTACAAAAAAGAGTGCAAATCACGGTGACGATTTATTTACCTAGTAACCATCGTCCCAAAACCAAGTTTCCTAACAGTGCTTTCATGCTTCGCTGGCAAAGAAAAGTGGGAATGTGTTTCTTTTACTTGGTAATACTCTGTACATTTCTCTTCTCTCACTCCCTCAATTTGTCATTGGGGTTCAATTCAGGTTCATAAACAAATCATCCATATCGAAAAACAAACTCAATTGCTTTCAAACACTCCTCAAGAATATCGTGAGTCGTGACGTCTATCGATTATCGAAAAGTAAGATCTTCCCTCCAAACTTTCCGTCTTTTCATTAATATCCAAGCTTCCCTACCCAGGTCAAATCTTATTTCAGGGTCCACACAGAGGCTGGGATACCAACCGGGGATGATCTGCACTTCCTATCTTTCGCAATTACTACAAAGTCGAGACTCGAGACACCACTAAAGCAAGGAAAGGAAGGTCACGGCGACTCAATATTATTAGGCCACTATACCAGCTTTGACCAACGAAAAGCATACAAGTTCCCCACGAAATCAAGGATAAATCCTGGCTCATTGAATTAAGTGGTTCGAATGTCCATGTTGAGCTGAAGGAAGTCGGGAGGATAATCTTTGATATTGATGTTAGTTATTATGGCTGATGTCGATGTCGATATCGATGGAAGCTTCTAGGAGGTTTATTCATGTAGGTGAAATCGAATTGGAAATGTTCGGCGACGCAATAGAGAATATGGGATTCCAAGAGAACACAAAGGATAGGTATACGGGGTAGGTCGATGTTTGTGTTGTGTGTAAAATCAATTTCTTCATTACCTGGGTAGGTATTGATAGGTATTGATAGGTACTGACTGATATTGATTTCATTATTATCCGCAGCTTCGTTTCCTCTCCTTCATTTCCTCTCAACCTCCTTCATTTCCTCTCAACCTCCTTCATTTCCTCCAAATCAACTAATTGTATCACACAAACCTCTTGGACCTCTCAATACCTACCTAGTAGGTATTAGACGCTTTCCGTACTTTGAGCCATGAAGTTGACTCCCTAGGAAATATCACAAAGTTTTCGCGCTATTGAATACTTAATACTTGACACTTGATAATTCGATTTTAATACGTGCCTCGTGCCTAGGTAAATCCTGTCGTCGTTCGGCCATCTCCTCCTCTTCCACCACTCTTCATTCCCGTCGGCCGTGGCTGGTAAAACTCAAAAAAACTTAATTTCATCTCCTTCGGTAATTGAACGAACCGTTCGTCTAGAACCAATCCTTCAGGTGAACAAGGATCAGCTCATGATTATTCTTCCGATCGGCTTTTCCCTACCTAGTACCTATCCATTCTCAAGCCATTCTCTTAATTTTCAATCCGGAGTATTGATTATTGCAAGCTAAGAAGCTTTCTTCCTGCCCCTCCAGTTTCCAATCATTTTCCCACGATATTAAACACCCCTTCCAGAGAAAGGGTACAGCCTCATCGGATCGAGTGAACTGAGATCTAGGTATCCAAGATCCATTTATCCATCCACATCCAGATAACGATAACGTTGCGGTAAGGAACCAAAGGAAAGGGTCCCCGAGACATCTCAGCTCGGGTGCCAGTCCGAACGTGATCTTCATATCCATGTATATGGAGTATGGTAGGGCGATACGATTTTACAATTCCCAATTTCACAATGTCACAATTTCACAATATCATGACCCCGCCGCCAAAATAGGAGCGATCCTACGGTCCCACCAAGTAGAATATCCTACCACTTCACTTTGTTTGTGTCTGTCTGTACACGAAACTTTCCAAGCGCAAAGTTATTCTCCTACAACATCTACCTTTTCGACACTTAACACAATGGAATCCTAAACAAGTCTGATCCGCATTAGAATCTGACTACTACATTCTGACTTTGAGATTTCAATACACCGCCTATTCATTGTTCAAACTTCAACGCGATTGATGGAGCGCAATGGAGCGCAAAGTGATGTGGCAATTCAAATTTCCATTTTGTTCGCATTCCATTGTTTTACAGTTGCTCGGTCGCGAAAATTTCAATCATGGCGGGCAGTGGAGACAATGCAAACATTTTTTTATTTTGCCAGCGCAACTGAGCTCGAGCAAAAATTTCAATCGAGTGCACTCTCTGTCTCTCCGCCAGTCTTGCGTCACTTGCAGTTCCAGAATTTGACCTCCTTTCTGTTCATAAATTGATCTGATCTCTTAGATCATACATCATCACAGCTGTCTGTACCTTCGTCCAAGATTCGATCAATGAACAATCTGGGAATACTCAAATGTCTTATAGTTATGTCATAATATCGGCATTACATTTTCTGGGTCTCCTAGAGTCGTAGCTCCAGCCTAAGCCCAAGCTCAAGCTCCAGCTCCATCTAGTTAGTGGAGCTATACTTGGCCAGCCCCACCACTCATGCTGTCTTTCAATTTTTTGTCTTGCATCTTTCTTTCTTCCTCAGCGCTCACTGATCTTTCGGCCCGTTGGTAATAGTCATGAATGACAATCAATACCTGATCAATTTGGACCGACAACAAGTATGGAGGGACACGAATGATGACTGACTCGAAATTTCACGAATTTCGCTTCGGGACCAGCTGTCAAAGTCAACGCGTCTATTTGAGCACGTATTCACGTTCTTGGTGAAAGTCGTGTGCAAGACATGATGAATGTTTTTGAGCTTGTACATATCCAAAGCTCTTTGTCTAGACTTGTTGAGAAGTCGGTAAGCTACATGGATTAGTGAGCCAACGAGCATACTCGTGCTGCCAGAAAGTATGCAACTCCGATGCTAGATGCACATACCACAAGATGGTAAACTACAAGAGGACTAACCTGGTTTTCACAGCGCCGGAGTTGCATACTTTCTGGCCGCACGAGTACCTTTCTTGGAATATTCGACCCCAATCATCACCATTGAAAGTTTATTTGTAGTTCATGAACTGCGCCAATTTTCGCCCTCTACCTATTCCGTGTTCCGTATTCTAGTTTTCTACCCTTTTCTCCTTAGTACCGAATCAAGTGGATGATCCTTTTCTCGGAATTACCTAACAATTATTTGGAACCCCCACCAAAATTCTTCACCCCACTCAAAAATCCACGTGACTAAAATTATTCTCGTCAAAATCTTCACTACAACCACCAAAAAAACATCACAACAACCTCAAACCTTGTGGAAAAGAGCAAAAAGAATGCCATTGGCGGTGCTGGGAATCGAACCCAGATTGAAGCGGGCAATTATGAGTCTGTAATGACTCGACTTCGTGAAGACCCTGAGAGGAGAAACCACAACACCACGTGCTACCATTACACCACACCACCTTTATATTTGATGGAGGAAGAGTCCGCTGTTTTGAACTATCAACAAAAACTCAAACAGGCCCACCAGTGTGAGTTGAGAGCTAGACGCGGTCGTGGGGTCCCACATAAGTATGAGTAACTAAGTCAGGATAGAGAATGATTATGGGAATCCAGTATGAACATCTTGTCACTCCCCGCGTTCTCCGGAAACTCAGTAAAGGTTTCAACCCAGCTTCCCCTTTCAACAAACTCGTTTCACAAGGCACAGTATTCAGGCCAGAGAGCATAGACTTCAGTTTACCAGCCTTACAAGGCGCAGGATTTGTGCTTGTTAGTAACAATGGAACGCCATTTCTCTCCTTCACCACCTTTAGTACACTCAAACGCTCCTCAAACTCATCATATTTTCGCTTCCTGGTATGGGATATTCCAGTCTGCCTACTAGCCGTGAACTCATCCTCGAGCCATTGATCAGCTCGAATAGATAACTGCTGCTCAGATTTGCCAGTAGCCCTTGCTTCTGCAATGATATGCGTTTTCAAACCGTTTAAAGTTGCAAATGAGAAACCACCTTTAGGACACGATGGGTACGGGCATCGATAATTCTTTCCACTAGGAGTGAGCTTATGTATACGCCACCTGGAAAACCGTATATCTCCATTATGGAACCCAGGAACTTGGTGCTTGTTCTGTCCAGCCTTGATAATGATCCCCAAAGCTTTTCCTTTTATACGACACTTGTCGATTTATCCTGCTCACATAGGCCGCATAGGTAGCCTTTGGATTTAGGGTCCTTTTTCGTAGCCGTTCCAAGTGTTGGCCTTGGTGATCTTGAGTATAGCACTTCATGCGAATTTTTCAATCCAAAATAATTTTTGAATTTATATTCACTTTCAAATCATTCTAATCATTCAAATTATTCAAATCTCTTAAATCTCTTAAATCTCTTAAATCTCTTAAATCTCTTAAATCTCTTAAATCTCTTAAATCTCTTAAATCTCTTAAATCTCTTAAATCTCTTAAATCTCTTAAATCTCTTAAATCTCTTAAATCTCTTAAATCTCTTAAATCTCTTAAATCTCTTAAATCTCTTAAATCTCTTAAATCTCTTAAATCTCTTAAATCTCTTAAATCTCTTAGTGTGTGAATAAGGGTATTCACTTCAAAGGAATGACTTCAATACAATGGCTACTGTATCAAAGGTATTAGGCGAATGCGAAAGAGACTAGCTCTTTCAGTAGTGCCTATATAAGGCCTATTATTTTCCCACTTAGCTAGCTCTTTAGATAGAATACAATACAGACATTTTGGGGCCTACTAATAGTGGGAACCACGTCTCCCGTATCTTTCTCGAACCAACACTTAAATCTCTTAAATCTCTTAAATCATTCAACTTTTTTAAATTATTCAAATCATTTAAATCATTCAAATCTTTTAAATTATTCAAATCATTTAAATTACTCAAACTACTTAAATCACTCAAAAAAATTAAATTACTCAAATCATTCAAATCACTCAAATTCTATCGTAGGTCATGAGCTAGTATAAGAGTATTTAGTATAAATAGAATATAAGAGGGAATAGACCTAATATTAGTGAGAGGGGTAAAATCCCTTTCAAAACCTATTGTATGAACTACATACAATAGTGGGCGCTATACCCCAGTATTTGTTTTCACCTCCCCCATTATTTCATTCCCATTGTGTATTTCAAAAGTTATCCGCTAGCGCCCTTATGGCCTAGCCGTCTTATATAGTCATGGACTGAAGCGGGACGTTAAATTAAATCAATCAATCAATCAACCTAATATTAGTCTATTATGGGAAGCTGGCTCGTATTAACAACTAAATAGTTATGGAACACGTGATTTTCATGAAAATGTATATGATATTCTTATTTTCTTTTTCTATATTCGAGGGGGGAAAGGCCTTATTTTATGCTTTTTCCTACCAATCTAGCTTTCCATTTTCATTTATCTCTTATAAATCTTTTCCTAATCCAGCCATTCCTTCAAATAAAGCTCCTTTTCATATTCTTTATTAATAATCGTTTTCGGAAACTAATAATAATTGTTTTCGGAAGCTAAATATAGTCGTTTTCGTATGGTTGCTTTCGGAAGCTTATAAGCGATGATCACGTTGTTTGATCATGTGATTCGATACTAGTATAGAACTTTATTCTATATATATTCAAAAAGATATATTATTATATTATTTTATAATAAAAACAACAAATTCATATAAAGTACTATATTTCAGTTTTCCTCTATTAGCCTCTCCAAGAAAGCTCTAACGTATAGCTCATAAGTCAGACTGTCTGTTACAACGTTGTTACTGTCCCTTTTTTCATTCACTTGAATCTCAGAAGTAAGCACGTTATCCTGAACATCATTCTCAATGCCTCCAACGCGAGAGCCAACTTCGGCCTCATCACTGAATTCTACCCCCAGATCATCACTCAAATCAACATTGTCTTTATCATCCTCGGGTGCATCCTCATCAATATCCTCAGCGGCCAACACCTTTGCCCCGGCTACAACTTCTTCAAAAAGTTTCGCCATAATAGTAAGGGCTTCGACTCTGGCCTCGTATTCTTGTATTGAGTGGAGTTCCTCGAATTCCTCCCTCATGTGTATCCTGAGAGCATATCTGGCCCGTAGTCTTGCGTATTGAGTGGAGTTTCTCGAATTCCTCCCTCATGTGTGCCCTGAGAGCATATCTCGCCCGTAATCTTGCGCATTTTGATGCACGTTTCCCCTCAGCTGACGTGGTTGCTTGCGCGTATCTTTCGTCTTGATGAACAAAGGCGTTGATAAACTTTTTCTCGTCCTCTGGAGAGAGGTTGTAGCAGACTCGATGTAATCCGGCCTGAACTATCGACTCTACACACTCTTCCTCTTCATCCAAAGCAATTGCTACCACATCAAGATCAACCATTGCATCGTCGTAGTAGTTCTCAAAAGCAAAGGCACCTGGGGTGTGTCCTAAGAATGCTCTTGCCTTGTTTCAACCTTTAATTCTGTCGACCCTCACACTAGCTCCTTTTCTCCAAGCATAGAATGTTGTTGTTTCGGTGTATCCTGCAGCCAATGCTCTACTCTTAAAGAACGCAGAAACATCTTTAGTCGATAGAGGGCGACCATCTAAGTTGTAGCCTTTACCACCTAGCTTTCCTGCTAAAAAAACGGGACTATCGAGATGAGCTGCTTTGATGCTCAACTTTCTAGGCGCAGAAGTCGATGACGTTAACAGATCGTCAATGATATCAATCTCATCAAGTATGCCTCGTTGAAACATAATTGCGATCAATCTAAGCGCAGGCGAAAATATAATGTTTTCCACTGATTTTGGATGTCTACTATATTGTTTCAATTTATTCGGGTTGGCTTCTCTTCCTAGAGTGGCATCAGTGGTCCTGTTCTTCTTGAAGAACATGAAATTGATAGCGCAATCGAATCGTCAAATATGATTGCCTGCACCCAAGTACAACATGTTAGCAAGAGTAAGTTGATGGAATGGTAGATGAAATATACCTTGGCCATCAAAAGCCGAGTAATCTCAATATCCCTCCATCTAAGAAACTTCCCTGGCCTATCTAATAATTGTGCCAAGGAGCATGGTCTAACCCCATTGAGACAGCCTGGAATCCATGCTAATTCATGCTGCTGTGAGAACCGAGGGGACGATGCGTGAATCAATTCCCAATCCAATAACTGACGCAATTCGAATTTCCCGGAGTAAGAATTGCCATTTTTCTGTCCTGGTGGAGGAATCCCACCCCAAAGAGATCGTGCTGCTAGATGAATTCCTTTAGTAATTTCCATCTTCATTTTTGGAACCGAGCAAATATTATCAGGCCGACGCTTCATAACCGCAAATTTCAACAAGGTTGCAAGTCGATATGTCGCAGATCTGATGGAAGGTCGTGAATCGTTCAGTCTTCTTGACATAGCCTTTTCCATCCATCTACCAATCATGAATATGAAGTCTTTGATGAGTGTGTCTTGTGGTTCATTGAACAAATGTGAATCGTGAGCACCTTTCATAAACTCACCAAAGTTATCCCCTGGAAGCTGTCGATTGTTCGTTGATATCAGACCACCATTGCAATTCGAAATTCCTTGAGATGGGCGTCTTCTGCACGGATTGTACCCGGAGCTCCTTAAAGCAAAGTATAATCAGTTTCGTTATTCGATTTCCTCCAACTTTTTGAAAAAGAAACCCTAATTCCTATTCGATGATCTTCTGCGCTTTCAACAATAGTATCAAGTTTGTCGAATAATGCTTGCTCGTCTTCCGTAATACCTTTCATTTCATATACACCATTGTCATTGAGCCATATAGCGTCAATCTATTGAGCTATAGATCTTCGAATGGGAGCTCAAGATTGAGGAGGAGGAATTGGAGGGAGTGTGAACTGCATCCTGACACTGACTGGAGATGTCCGTCTCCAAACAGAATATAACAAAACTGTAGAAAGAGTTGTAAAGGTGTAAAGGTGTAGAGAGGGAGGTGAGGTGGAATATCTCTGAATGTGGGGTATTATACATCAAATGGAAGGAGCAGGCTGCAGGTACCTATCTAAGCTAAGGTAGGTGCGGGGAAGTTATGCCCCCTCTGATACCCTACATCTGGTGCCCCACAGAATTCTATATGCTATCCTTACATGAATCGATGTTCGGAATGTCGTCTGGTTTTACCTTACAGAGAAAAAGTTCTAAGACTAAAATAGAATCTATATTTCAATATTTCTTTTCTAATTATTCTTAATGTCTAGAAATAAAACAATATATACTGAAGATTAATAGATAAACTATTAGAACTTTATTCTTCTTTGAGGGGAAAAATTTTGAAGATTTTAATTATAAATAAATATTATTTTTGCATAATAAAATAGTGTTTTTTTTTAATATTCTTAATGATTTAAAAATATGTTAAAAATTTAGTATTGATTAAAATAATATTAAAATTTATAAAGTATTATATTTACAGCAAGTATCAACTGCTATTATTAGTCGAAATACGTTTTTATATCAAAACTTACTATTTATATTGTGGTTTGATCGCAAGCTCATATTCAAACAGCATATCGAAACGCGAGCAGCCAAAGGCCGGAAATTGGCTCATCACATCCAAGGGCTAGCCCGAATCACAAACGGACCCCCAGCAGCATCCTTACAGAAAGCAATAATCACTTGCTTATACCCAGCCCTATTCTATAGGGCAAAGATATAGTACATAGGACAAACAAAAACCATTAGATAGTATCGAGATGGGATATTAATAGTAGTGAGCATTTGATTAGGAAAAAACAATTCTAACTATTAACAAGATCCTACAAATAGCGATCAGAGGAGTCCTTTCAGTCTGGCGAACGATCCCGAATATAATGATAATGAGGGACAATGCTCTCCTACCAGCAGAAGTAGTATTAGAATAAATAAAATGGAGAGTAGCCTTCTGTGTCCAAACTATTGATCCAAAATACTCTCTTTATTATCGAGAGATAAGAGCCACCTACTTTTCCGGCAGCAGGGAAGGCCAATTGCAGTTAGCCAGAATAAAGGTCCAGGTGATCAGCTAGTGTTTTCCCCGAATCAAGGAGACGACTTTAGTAGGGTCCTATTATATATTAGGGTGTCGAATGGATCCCATTAGAAGCCTTACGAAAGAGGTAGCGACAAAGCAGTTTCAGGAATGGTGGAATAAGTGTATATACGAATCAGATCACTATATTCTCTGATGGATCGGAACAGATCGATAAGGATGGTAGGCGAGTAGGATATGGATATGTTGTATATAGAGGACAGATGATAGTATGCAAAGGAAACAATGGATTGCATCACAATTCTCATATATTCGATGCGGAAGCGATCGGGGTATACCGAGGCCTTCAAGCAGCAATCAGAAATATCACCAGTATAAAACAAATAGAAATCTGTATATATATCGATAGCCATATCAGTGATATAGAGAATAAAAGGCACAGCCTCTATCACATCGCAATAGGCTTTCCTCAAACATCACAAACTGATGCAAACGCACTCGATCCAGATCAAATAATCATTAGGCTATATAGGAATCAAAGGGAATGAGTGTATAGATACACTCACTAATAAAGGGATAAGAAAATCAGTCTCAGGGCATACAAATCGACCTACAACAAGCGATATCCGCTCTATAGCAAAAACTACTATGGAATCAGCAGCATAAACATAATAAATCAAATAGAAATCAATGCTCTCCAAATAATATCAGAAATAGAATCCAAGAAGTACAAACAAATGCCCTAATGAATTAGAACTCTTACAAGCTACTCTCCATTACATACTAGCAATCCACTCAGTATACAGCGATTTCGAAAGCTATCATCAACAATTTAAACACAAGGAAGTAACGATTTATTGCTTATATAACATATACAAATCCTTTGAGCATATTATGCATTATTACAAAGTCCTTACAACCTACAAAACCTAGCCCCCAGATATCAGGCCCAAATACCCATTCTGTAACCAGGCAGCTCAAAACGACTACTAAAACAGCTAATACATATACCAGCCAAGTTCACTGAATTTATTGTTATAACAGACTTCTATAGGAGCATATGCCCTAGAACACTACCAGAAGAATAGGAAAAGGAAATGGAAATGAATCGATCAATCCGGATGAACACAAATACAGAATAGAAAACAACCAATATAGTAAGGCTATAAAGAACAAAATCAATATATACAATATACTACATTACACTAGAATACATACAAAAGCTACCCTTACAGGATAAAACAGCTTTCAATCAAAACATTATATAAAAGATTGGAAAATACACACAGAGGCATTCAGAGGATCGGAGATAAAAGTGTAAACCACACTAACTATCGTTTGAAAGGCTATTGAGGGTATTGAGATCTCATTTTTAGGAGAGGGGGATTATATAAATTAGAGATTATCCCGCAGTTAGCCCAACCGTAATGCCCCCTGGGAGGTTCGCCTATACGGCCCGGTTGAAAATTACTAATAATAATAATAATAATAATAATAATAATAATACTATTTATATTTATAATTTCTCCATAATAAATTATATAATATAAGTATTTTCTTATATTAATTGATTTATTTCTATAAGAAATTCAATAAAAATAAGATCGATATTTTTAAATATTTTATTAATTGAATTATACAGATAAAAAAGATATAATATTTTGAAAATAATTAGATTTACTAGTAAAATAAGTGAAAATCAAGCAACTTTTTTAATAATTTGATTCAAATCTTATAAATTTCTATAATATAAATTTTTGATTTTTGAATGGTGGTCAATTCCCGCCTGTTTTTTCGCTTATATAGAGAGGGGGTGGAGGGTTACATTTTCCATATCTTACTTCCCTGGCTACTCATGTACTACGCCGCGAATGAGTTCAGCCTAACATGATCTTATCTAATAATTGGTTTTACTCATATTAGAGGTCCCCCCATCAGAAGCTTTGTAGCAGTCCCATTTCTTCTTTTTCCTTCAGCTACCTTAAGCTTGTTGAGTATTTGTACGCCGATACAAAGATGTCCGCGAAAGAAGAGCAACGGGACTATATCTTCAAAAGGGATTACAGATCTTCCATGCGGTGAGATTTCCTCTTGGGCGCCGCACGAGTTGATGAAGCTAATAGATACCTGTAGCTTGAATTACAACCACTTTTTGATCAAAGAAGTCTGTGGATACCTCGTGCACCCAAGTATCCCGACAAATCAGACAAAATTGCGAATCGCAGATGTGGGTACAGGTACTGGGTAAGTAAGCAAGCTGTGCACCACTTGAGCTATGTCTACTAACGAAATTGGCATCAAGGATTTGGGCCTGTGACTTAGCCAGCAAGCTACCCGAGACTGTACGCATCGACGGATTTGATATTCCTGATGCCCAGTACCCCGCACCGGGATTCCGACCAAAGAATGTACACCTGTATGTTCACGATGGATTTGAAGAGTATCCAGCCGAGTTTCTGGGGCAGTACGACATTGTCAACGCTCGGTTTTGGCAGTGTATAGTCAACGATCCTGATGCGAAGCCGTTGCTGAAAAAGCTGCTATCCCTAGTCAATAAGTCGAAATTATTGTAGAATATACGTCAAGTCATATCTAACATGTATATCTGTAGAGCCTGGCGGCTATCTACAATGGCTGGAGCCTCTGCCTCTATCAGCAAACGTCGTCGTGACACACGAAGGTGCAGAAACTATAGCATCAGAGCGACTTGCGAACACTTTCCATAAACCCAGCCAGACAGCAGTATGGTGAGAAATTCCCCGGATTAGTGGATGAATGCGATTCCTAGATGCTAATTTGAATCAGTTGGGTTGAGGGTCTCAAATCTCTTTTCGAAACAGAAGGCCTCACAGACGTGTCCCGTACTGATTATCCTTTTCCTAATTATCTTCGTCCTCTTTGGTCACAGAGCTCCATGGCAACCACTGCAGATGTCATGGCAAAGATCGATAGTTACAACACAAAAGGTTCCGGTATCGGGATGAAATTTGTTGAGGACTTGGAGAGAGAAAGTGCAAATGGAGTTGCTGTGGACACACCGTTCCAGTGTGTCGTTGACGCAAAGCTTCGGAACGATTTTATATTTACATGAGACTAGCGGATAAGTATTGGTTCTTGATCGTGGATATATACCAGTCTATTTGATAGATATACCATAATGATAGAACGTACAAGTTTCAAAAATTTGTAGACTCATCAATGTAGTGATATATGTACGTTCGCTAAATCGCCCTTTTAATAACATAGCTTTTCGGAGCTAATGAGGTCGCATTCGGTTCGGCCTATCTTGACAACAAATATGGATATCACATACCCACACCAATGGGGAAAGATCAGGTCTTCTAGTCTTTCATATTCATACATCATATACTAGATTACAATACTGTACAAATACAAACAAAAGTCATCTCATCTCGTATATTCATCTTATTCATATCATTTCGTCTCTTCTCATCTCATCTCTAGATATCTCATATCAACCTGTCCTACTAACCCTCCTCGCATCCTCACATCTCCCTCTCCCCCATCCCAACCCAATGTCCATGATTATATATATTAAGCAGATTCTCAGCTTAAGAAGTAGTATTCACAACCTTCTCCATGTTCGCCCATCCTCTCTCCCCTTTCCGATATCCGAGTACCATCCATTTCTTGCTCCATCCCAATGGATCTAATCCACACTTCTCTTCAAAGGTACATTCCCTCCACACTCCCTTAAATGCATCAAACCACAATAATGTTTCCACGCCCGCAACTCCTCTTTCAATAAAAGGTACAAAAAAATATCCCATCCCTTTCAATATGCATTGCTTAAAAATATCCGCCAGCATCACGAGAAAAACTAAAACCACAACTTTGCTCAGATCCTATCCATCCATCAGTCCACCCATTTATAATATCTCCTTTCAATCGATTTTCCGAACCTAAAGATCCACCGGGCAAATAACCCTCCTCGAATGGCAAACAAGAGAACACGAAATCATAATATGATCCATCATAGCCTACAATTCTTCCCACAAAACAATTGTGATTTCGCAACGAGTTGCGCCCAGACTTCGATTACTTGCTTCATACCTCATCAAGTCTTAAGCTAAAAGCAGTCGTCCTTCGGGATCAAAATATAGTGCTTGCTAATTCTTCGTGATGGATCACGTTCCAATTTCCAAATTAACCTCACAATAACTTTTGGATGGCCATCAGGAAAAATAGCACATGTCAAGAACACATCGCCATAGAGTTTCGTTTCCCACCATCCAAGATTATAGAATCACCACACATGACAGAATATCAGCCTTCCATCGATATTTTCTTAGCAGTATCCGTGCTTTCAACACTTGCATTTGTACCTCTTCGACCATGGCTACCCACTGCTGCCAGCTTCATCTTTGGTTTCTTTCTCATCATTGTGAGGCCTTCGTCACTATCTGAATCATCCATGTCCGCGTTCATACTGTTATCACCATCACCGTTGTATCCCTCTTCATCTGTGTCTGCATAAGGATGATTCAAGGCGGGATGGATAACAACATGATCGTCAGAAATTGTAGAAGCTTTAGGTTCAGATGATTCTTTGGAGATTACAGGTGGCGTGACTGTTTCAGAAGTATCGTAGATGGTTTGTGAAGGACAGCTACCAGGATCTTGAAGCATATCGCCTTCTGGATCAGCAGAGACGGATGATGAGCCTGATACTAAAGCAGGCAATGAAGGAACCGATGGGAAGAATTGTTCATTCGAACCAAGAGCTATTGATGAAACAGGTGAGTTAACATCGGACGGGAAATTCATGTCACCAGGTGATATGATACTTGTCGAGGTAACCGAGCTATATGACCGAGCACGTCTGGCAGCTTCCTCTTGTTTTTGAGCAAAGATCTCATCGTCAGGTGATGGCGGACAATTTTTCAATGGTGCAGTTTCCAACTTGAGTTTCGAGCTATGAAATTCAAGGCGTTTTGCATTTGCATTTGCATTTGCATCCGCTTCCATCTTCCTTCTTCGATCTAGTTGTTCTTGAGCTCTTTGAAATGATTCAGGGGTACTCGAACCACCATATGTTCGTGGGGCAGGCGTTTTCCCTTCCGGGGTTCGATTAGCTGTGGCAGGTCTATCGTCAAGGATTGATGCGGCATATTGGGTACTCATAACATTAGGCGTTGATGCTGACGAAACCGACTGATGTTTGTCGAAAATGTGCGGGTGGAAAAACAAGGGTGAGGGTATTGGCCTGTCGAAATAAGCGTCAATCGGACTATTCTCGGAGGAATATGTTGGACGGGGGTGTTTAAAAAGTCCAGGGGCAACAGCAGTACTCATTCCAACGATGGCGGATGCATGTTTGTCTTCGGCTTTGAAAAGACTCCTGTCGGCAGATCTAGCCCTCGATGATGCACTTTCATCAATCTCCGTCAAGGATTCTCGACCTCTAGGATTCCATAAATGCCCACCAAATATCTGTCCCATATGATCTGTGAAAGGACCTGGCGTTCTTGGACATTCTTCTGTAGTGGGGCTTCCGGAAAATGCGTGATTTACAGATCTCGAATATGAATGGCCTCTATGAACGACCGTCGCAATCGACGGCGTCCCCGAGATAGTGCGTTCCGGTGGACCTGGTCTCGCATCAAAATTTGATGATGCCAAAGAGGATCCAGAACGTTTGGGAGTGTTTCCTACCAGGGAAGAAAGGGAAAAGTCCTGTTGGAATGGATCGCATTGCAGCGAGTCAGGGCTAGCCGTTTGACTTTGGGCCAAGGGGTGTTCGGTTGATTCTTTATGATGATCATTGTGAGAATCGCCAAACGATGAGAAGTATTCATCTCCACGAAGACTAGCTCGACGAACTATCTCGCGCAAAATAGGAGTATATGGCGGAGCATGGGTGTGGTTTTCGGTACCTGAACTTGTGTTTGTAGCATTGCTTGTAGCTCTCTTACGGGACCCTTCACCCTTATCATTTCTCATCACACTTGTGACCTTGCCTATAGTCTTTTTAAAAGTCGATCGAGCTCGCTCCAGAAATGTAATAGGTACAACAGCCCGTTCCAATTCGCTTTTGTCGACTTCGATCCTACGTCCTGCGGTCTTGCGTGATGGATCTGTATCGTCAAGCCATCCAATGATGTTCTCGATGCCTTTGATCGTCCATGGATGTCGTTTGACTTCTCGAAGTTTGATCCGCTCGGCAGGGTCTTTGATTAACATTCTTCTGAGCAAATCGTATAACTCATCATCGATTTCCTCATAAGACAAGTCATCCTCACTCCTATATGGCCCATCCCATGGTCCCATCCTTCTGCTAAAGTGTGAGGTTGGATTCCCTGGATCGACAGCCTTCAATCGTTTTCTGGGTATATAGACGTCCTCCTTTGCGATAGCCTTGAACAATTGGTATTCATCCTCGGCCATGAATGGAATGCGAGCATATACTAGGCAGTATAGAGTGATTCCCAAAGACCAAACATCAATTTGTTCAGTAATCCTTGGCTGTTCAATTTCTAGATCTGTGTAGCATAATTCGGGAGCGAAAAAGGCAGGTGTCCCAACAGTCTTAGCCAACTCTAGATCGTCATCAAAGTCGGTTGCGTCAGCCTCGGAAATGTTCTCTTCTGTCTCTCCTTCTCTGATAGGTCGACCGAAATATGAAACACCAAAATCAGATATCTTGACGCGATGATCCTTTGTCCATAATAGATTAGCAGGCTTGATGTCTCGGTGAACGATACCTTCGTAGTGTAAATACTCCAGTCCTAAGACAGTGTCTCTGAAGGCCGACCTAGCTTGATCCAAAGTAAAGCATGGGACATAAGAGAAATCGTCTTCGAAAGCATCATGTTGTGTCATGTCATCAACCGAAGACATGTGAGAAATAATACTATCCGCCATGCTAGGAGATCTTCCTCGATACATTGGATCCTCCGCGTAAGACCCGTACATTGTGCCTTCTAAAGCCATGGCTGAAGCTTGTGGAATGTATGAGCCGGGGGCATCCTCTTCATTATCGCTATCTAAAGGCCCTATCTCAAAGTCAACATCGCCACCTCCGGGTAGAGGAGTGGGAGCACGCGAACTTCTTGCAGTTGGTGCTCTAGATGTTGCTCGAGAACTTTTCATAGATCCAGGGGCCGACCGAACTAGAGACGTATGGGACAAGGATACAAAGGAGTCTTTTGTGGCGGCTCGCGATAGGGGTGGTAACTCGGAACGTTCTTCTTCTTTTTCGTCATCATCCCCATGTTCCAAACTCCAAAATTCTCCATTTCCTTGATACTGTAGAAGTTTTGCCCTCTTCATCTCTTTCCTTTCTCGTCGACGTTTAAGTGTCTCGAAGTATGCCTTGTCATTTCCCTGATCATCCTCTCCCCTAATTTCTCTTTCAATTCTACGCCGTTCGTATAAGGATATCTTGCGAACTCCCTTCCGACGCCACACTATTTCTCCTAATTCGACATGTTCAAGAACCATGTATATTTTTTTCAACTCCGGATCATCAATAACTTCCAATAAGCCGACGACATTGGGGTGACGAATTTTCTTGAGAATGGCAATCTCTCTCTTCGTTTTGTCTTCGGGAGAGACCGTAACTCTCCCAAGTCTTCTTTTCTTTGAAAATCTTTGTATGATTTTGATGGCGACATAATCTTGAGTTTCAAGGCTCCGGGCCAATTTAACTTTTCCATGTACACCTCTCCCAATTTCATCGATGATCTCATATTGATTTATGAGTTTTCTTCCGGTAATGAAATCTTGTTCGACTTGTGCTTTGTGAGTTCTAATTTTGAGAAATAACAAGTTAGTCAATGTTTCAAGACGTAGTGAGTCAGTAGACCGTCGAGGTAGCGGGGCTTGGTAGATTGATGGGTTGTGTTGACAACCCCTCGAGACATGTGAAGGTGATAGAAGGTGTAAATACCCAACGATAAGCTCCGCAGATTGAGGTATTGAAGATCCTTTGAGGAAAGTGAATTGCGCAAGGGGAGGGAGGAATTGACTTACTCTTTTACTTTGTGCATCTGCAAAGGGTGTAAATAAGGACTCGAATGAGGAGTTCCGTGGTCGGACAGAGGTACGGGTTGACGATGGAAGTGGGAA